ATGGAAGTCTGCGAACAGATGCTTTCAAAGGAACGTGCGAAGCTAAACCGCAAGGACTTGCTTGGCAATGACCTGGCGTACATGGACCGCAGTGATCACGGTATCGATCAGTTCGAAAGTGCCCGTGACTTCCTTGACTCAATTCAGGAATACGTGCAAAAGAGAGCCGACAAATTGATCTCTCGAGGTGGTGATATTGACCCGTCCGACCAGCGGAGTCGTAAGGGCTTGGATCATACAGGCAAGCTGACCGAGACCACACTGAGGGCTTTTATCACTGCTTGTTTGTTGAAATACAAGAAAGCCCAGGTCGAGCCCGGCCACGCTGTGGGTGCCGTTGGTGCCCAGTCCATTGGTGAGCCCGGAACGCAAATGACCCTGAAAACTTTCCATTTCGCCGGTGTCGCCGGAATGAGTATCACTCAGGGTGTACCTCGTATCAAGGAAATTATCAACGCCTCAAAAGAGATCAGTACTCCCGTTGTGGCTTGCGAACTGGTCAACAAAGAAAGCACCATCGCTGCTCGTATAGTGAAGGGACGCATTGAAAAGACCTTCCTCAGCGACGTCATCCACTCCATCACGGAAGTTTGGTCCCCCGATGATGCTTACTTGAAGGTTGTTCTAAACTGGAAGACCATTGAGGATCTAGCGCTGGAGATCACGACGCCGCAGATCGTTGAAGCGATCAAGACCAACAAGCGCTTCAAGGGTGGGGATCTCAAATTCTCATGCAAGCAAGCCTCAATCAAGGTCCACATGGATCTTGATCCGGCCAGCAAGGCGGGTCTTTCCAAGACGGAGATTGCCGCCACCAGCGTTGATCCTTTCCTCCGCTTGAAGCATTTGAAGCGTATCCTTCCTAACATCCAAATCCTGGGTCACCCACGTGCCACCCGTGCTATTATTCGCACGGACGAGACCTCGACCACGAACACTTTGCTCGTGGAAGGCTACGGATTGAAGGAGTGTATGACTACGATGGGTGTGGACGGTCTCCGCACCCGGACCAACAACATTATGGAGGCGCGAGAGGTTCTAGGCATTGAAGCTGCTCGAAGCACGGTCGTCGTCGAAATCAGTGAAGTCATGAAGGACATGGACATTGATCCTCGTCACATGCAGCTTCTGGCCGACGTCATGACCTACAAGGGCGAAGTGCTCGGCATTACGCGTTTCGGTCTGGCTAAGATGCGTGACTCGGTGCTTCAGCTTGCTTCGTTCGAGAAGACTGCAGATCACCTTTTCGATGCCGGTGGTCTCGGTCGCACCGACCTCATTGAGGGTGTATCGGAATGTATTATCATGGGCAAGACGGTGTCACTGGGTACCGGTGCTATGGAGGTTGTGCGTAAGCTAAACTTCTACCACGGCCAGATTGGCCCACGAAAGACGGTCTTTGAAGACGCTTGGACTGAACATTGTGAGGCACCTCTGACAAGAAGACCCAAGAGGAAGGTCCGATGAAGTGACTGTGACTCTGTGACACTGTGCATTAATTTTGGCGTTAAGAATTTGGCCTTGTGGACAAGGCTTGTACATGTACTTACCTGAGCGGGTGAATTTCATTGACATTATGATCAAATGGTTTTTTTTTTTTTTTTTTTTTTAACATTTTTATGTTCCTTGATCTACATTGTTCACGGGTGGATTATTAGGGCTATATAATAGGCATCAAATACTCCCCGTGTATACACAACTTCCAAGGTTCGAACCTATCACAATCCTAAAAACACAAAACTCGGGGTGTGTACGGACGTGAAGCTAATTTCCAACACGACTGTAGAAAGATCTAGGGACAAGCTTCTCAGGTTATATTCAAATATCCATGGATTCTACCTGTTTTTTTTTACACAAAGTACAAGAAGTCCACAACATCCCTCAACGGAATGTCTCGGATTCTCTACCTATAGGTACTCCTATACCGAAATACAACAAACCCAAATATTCCCGGGGATATCACAAAAGATTTCCTCTTTTTTCTTCCAACAGCTGCATCCAGCCGAAAAGAGATATCCCAGAAATACGAGAATCGAGGGCCCTTTAGGGTCAGAGAAAAGGATCGGGGAGCTCTTTATTGGGGAAAGAAAAACAAAGACATCAAATCAGAGAAAAGCCATGTCCGGAGTGACCAGGGAGTGAATCGTCCAATCAGCGTGAAACCCCTGAGGCAGCCATGGGTGTTAGCCTTTGGCCATCACATCGCCTCGACGGTTTCTTTGTTACCCATTGCCTTGTTTGGCCACGCCACATCCGTAAGCACTCGGTGGGTTGGATGTTTCTTTGTCTTATGCAGTGGTCTGTCTCTCTCTCGAAGGTATTGATTTCTAGCTGAATATCCGTGGGTCGCACTTAATCTTTTACATCTCCCCTCATCTATCTCCCCGGCCTCCCCGAAAACAACCCGGATTTGCACTGTGGATGATTATGGAGTTTGGCAACCCAAGAATTCCTAGGAAGCGCGAGATCCGAACACGAGCCCCGACAGCCTGTCAGACCTGTCGGCTGCGCAAGACTCGATGTGACAATACCAGGCCGACCTGTAGCTACTGCGCCGTGCAGGGGATGGAGTGCAACTATCCCGAAACATCGCCACAGCAGAACCAGTAAGATATCACCATTGTCCATGTGTGTGAAGGAAGAGGGGGGGGCACAACACACTAAGCATTGACCTTGTTCTTAGGATTGGGTTTGACCCTGGCAACCCATCGAATAATGAGGTGCTCCAACGACTGAATCATATCGCCGGTTTGCTGGAGAACTTCAAATCCGAAGGCTCCACCAGCTCGACTCGCTCGCTCAAAGAGGGATTCTTTGAATTGGCTATGCGGAACACTAGCCCCGTAGCCGAGTCATTGCCGGGAAGCAATCCAACTAGCACCAGCACTGGTAGTGTCGATGACCGGGGAGCCGATAATGATCCCCGAATCCTTTACATGGCTAGTTCCGGGGAGAACATGCTCCGATGGCCCATCTTCAACAAGGTCATCACCGAAGCCGAAAAGCATATCCGATCCTTTCTCCTCGACTCGCTGGATAATCAGCCCCGCAGTATGCAGGCACCCCGACAGGTGGGGATTGGAAGCTTTGTCGATGAGATCCCTAGACTTTGTAGGAAGTACTTCCTACTATGCCACCGAAGAAACCCAATAGTCGATCTAGACAGTCTAGACCGCTATTCCAAGGAGGTCACTATTCAGGGTCTTGGATGGGATGGCCCCTCGTGTCAAGTGGTATGTCAGCTCCTTTTTGGGAAGTCTAGGTCCCACTTGAACTAAATCATGTCTCTAGTTGTTAGCGTGCGCCTTAGCTTCGTGCACATCATCGAAGTTTGTCCCACTGTCGGAAGACATGCCAGCGAATCTCGATAGACTCCAAGCGCCCCCAATGTCCGATGCCAATCTCGATTTGGCTGAGACATATTTCCACGCAGCAAAACAGAGATTCGGTTTCTTGCACACCTCTCCAACAGATATTCAGTGCTTCCTTCTTGCTGGAAGCTACCATAGACATGCCATACGACCTCTGCAGGCTTGGTTCTGTTACCAGCAGGCATCTTGCAGATTAGAAGTCCGTTTGCGATCGCTGTGTAGAGAACAGTGGACCGCTGATGACAATTACCATAACTTGGAGTCGAGACTATACTGGTCGTGTATCCAAGCGGAACAGTAGGTTCTTTCCACCGGGCTTTTATATGATTATCAACTAAGTATGGTCGACAGTGAGATGCAGAGCGAACTCCCTCTCTGGAGCAGTGGTCTTGAAAGCCTAGGCTATTCAGATCCATTCCCTAAATTTTCTCGCAGATCTCCTTCCTCATATGACCAAATGGAGGAAGATCAAGATTTCGCAGTCAGGCCAGGCTTTGAACTCGATGGCACCGAAGAAGAGAAAGGCTGGAAATTCTACATCGGGTCTATCTGCAATCGTCGAACCACTAATGACATAGTGTCTGACATGTGGCGTCAGGGCGAGAAGGGCTGGACCAAAGATATCCCCGATCTCCTAACAAAAACCATGGACGCAGAGCGTGTTGTAACATCATGGTACGAGCCACGAGCCCCGAGGTCCATCGAACACAATTTAAATATCTCCGACAAGCCTTGCTAACTCTTCCCAAAGGTACCAAATCTCGCTAGCGGGGATCCAGTCTGCAAAAGACAACCCAGACCTGAGGTTCTTCTTCCGCGGTCGGTACCACATGGCATTAGAGAGGATCTACCGACCAGCATTCTACCTTGCAATGCATTTCCAGGGTATGCCAACGTTCATCAAAAAGAACAACCCATTATGGGCCAAAGTGTTCAACTTAGCGCAAAAGGCCATTGACAACTGCGTCACACTCATACCAAGCTACTGGTATCAGTTCCGACATGAGTGGATCTGGAATGTGGTTCGTGCCAGCTTCGCCTGTGCTGTGCACATTCTCGGGGCTGTCTTATATCGGCTTGAAGCGTCTCGGGACCCTACTACGTGGCAGGTACGGTTACCGATGAATTGGACTGCTTTGGTGAGGCTGTCGATTCGAACGCTGAAGCATTGGTCGGCGGAGTCTACTGATCTAGAGGTTATGGCGTCGACTCTTGAGAGGATGTATCAGGGTACTTGTCGGCTGGCTAATGTGCGCCCTGATCTTCATCTTCTTTGATTTAATTGCTAATATGGAGATGTCGAGAAAAAAGGGGTATACATATAGGGGTTTGTGAACCCATGTGTCCACATAATTATGAGATACTATGCATTGACGATTTCAAAATTATTTTAATTTACATGCAAATTGCTGCTGCTTCGATCAATTGACATCTATTTAACATATTATCATGCATATTAACATATTCAATCCAACTATCAATATCCAAATAATCCCAGCTGGTTATATATACAACTGGTTATACTCCGAGAATCCGCCCCACCACAACTTTTTCCTTCACTTCCAACACTTCATCCCTTTCCCTTTCCACCTTTCGACCTTTCGACCTTTCCTCTCCAACTCTCTCACAATGGAAGAATGCAAACCCCCGCCTCTCCCCTCCCCCTTCAACAACACTACACCACCACCAACCCTCCTCGCCCAAGGTGCTGAAGCCCACCTCTACAAAACCACCTCCCTCAACCCCTCCATCCCCGCCGCGCTCAAGATTCGCCCCTCAAAACCCTACCGCCATCCAATTCTCGACCGCCGACTCACCCGCCAACGGATAACCTCGGAAGCACGATGCCTGGCGAAACTGGTACGGGAGGGCGTCAGCGTTCCAGCCCTCCTAGCCCTGGACTGGGAGGGCCACGGCGGCACAGAAGGCGGGTGGGGCGGTGCCTGGCTAATGATGGAGTGGATTGACGGGCCTGTGGTGCGGGTAGTTCTCGAGCAGTGGGAAGCATGGATGAAGCAGAGCCAAAGCTCGCTGAGTGAATCACAGATCGAAAGCGAAGAAGCGCGTGTGCGCGACTTGTTGAGGAAAATGGGGTCTGCTATCGGTGTCTTGCACAAGGCTGGTGTTGTGCATGGAGACTTGACTACGAGTAACCTCATGCTGCGACCATCTGCAGATACAAGTGGTGCTGTTGATGGCGCTGGCTCGCCCTCCACAGAGGGCGATGTCGTGCTGATTGATTTCGGTCTTGCGTCGCAGAGTAATCAGGATGAGGACCGGGCTGTTGATTTATATGTGTTGGAGCGGGCGATTGGGAGCACGCATCCGCGCTCGGAGCCTATGTTCGATGCGCTGATTGCGGGTTACCGGGATAGCTACAAGGGGGCTCTTTCTGCGCTGAAGAGGCTTGAGGACGTGCGCTTGAGAGGGCGGAAGAGGAGTATGCTTGGTTAAGCTAGTCTCGTTTGATTTTAGAGATGGATGCAACCGCCCCCCACACCAGCTATGATTGATTTAAAGCAAGAAAAGAAACGCCACGCTTGTCACGACAAATATCCATATTGACGACGCAAAGAAAAAGAAAGAAGCATTCATGACCGGTCCTTGAGACATGTGCCGACATCAGCCGACGCGAAATACCCCTTGTTCTCGACTACTCCACGATCCTTGACGACTGCCGTGTACTTAACTACCCACTGTGGCTCGACATCTCCCTGGATACCGTCGTTGGCCTCGGGAGACGAAGCCAAGATGCCCGCACCGCTCTTCCCCGCGGGACCGAGCAGTTCCCGCGTCGTGCCGACAGGAAGAATATCGTGGCAATCGTTATGGGTGAGGAGTTGGATCTTTTCTTGTTTCGCATAGAGAATCAAATTTTTAGGAACGACACAGCAATCCTTCAGATTGATCTGATCGACCGAGGGCTTGACCTTGGTATGCGGGAGGAACCGGGCCAAGCGTTCGCTGCCGAACTCCGCGACTCCCAACTGGGCGATCACGCCCTGCTCATGCAGCGACTCCAGCACCTGCCATGTCTGCACCAAGCTGTCGAAGTCGTCCGCTTCGCCGTTGCTCATTTCGTTGTCTTCTTCTTCGCTGTCATCGTCTGCATCGAACAGGATTCCCGGGAACGAGACGATCAGTAGATCGATAGACTTGACGTGTAGTTCCTTCAATACCAGATCAATTGCCTCTCTGGTGTGTGCGCACCGCCTTGACACCGGGATTCCCGGTAGGTAGAATAGCTTTACTGTGATATCGTATTGGTCGCGTTCTTCTGATAGACCAGGCTGTGAGAAGTCGATCGCGGGGATATAGAGACCATCTTTGGTCTGTAGCGTCCATGAGGGTGGATGCGATGCGGCGGAGTGACCATTTGTCTCGGTGCAGTTGGCCGGTGACGTTTCGATCTGTTGAGAGGCAAGGAAGTTGGATCGAAGTGAGTTGATTAGCTCAACGTTTGATTTCTGGGTCATAGGCTGGCGAATGACGGATTGCCGTCCAGCTTGCATAATATTCCTGCGAAGGTTGAGTGACTTTGATTCGAGGCGCATCGGAAGACACTACTTACGAACTGGATAGAATCAACTTCATGATGGAATAATAAGTGAGAACTTGGAGATAGAAGTATTGAAATTTAAATCGTAAGTGTCAAGGGACAAGATGAAGATTGAAGGCCGAGAAAGTTGAAAGTTGAAAGTTGAAAGTCGCAAGTTCACCCCGCGGAGAGCCCCTCCTACGGGCCTCTGACAAATCCAACGTCCCTCCAGCTTCGTCTCTGCAACCACTTAAAGCATCTAACATATACCTGCAACCATCTACTTCAATCCCCCTTCAATCGTCATCAACAGTCGGATCCCAGTCCGTGGGAGAATACTCTCCCGTATCAAGCAACTTCATATCCTCATCCGCCAACTCAAAATCAAAGACATCCACATTCTCGCGAATGCGCTTCGGCGTAGTAGATTTGGGCAGAGGCACAAATCCCTAAGAACCAGACTATTAGCATACCCGATTCTACATTATATCTTTTTCCCTGAACAAACTCGATCCTACTTACCATCTGCAAACTCCACCGAATCAAAACCTGCGCCGGCGTCTTCCCATATTTGTTCCCGATAGAAAGCAACACGGGCTCCGTCAACCGGCTCCCATGCGCAAGAGGCGAGTACGCCTCAACAACAATCTTCCTCTTCTGTAGCCACTCTACGATATCCGAGTGGTCCAGCCACGGGTGCAGCTCATACTGGCCGACATCAATCTGACCACCCCCGCCACCCTGGATGTAAGCCTCCAGTTCTTCGAGGTGGTGGATACCGTAGTTGGATACACCGATGGATTTCACTTTCCCTGCTTTCTGGGCTTCGACTAGTGCATTCCAGGAACCTAGACGGGCTTCTTTGCCGCCGTAGGGTGCATGGATTAGAATACTGTTGGTTATGTAGATCCAGCGGTTAGATTGTACATTCCAATTCCATGGGAGGATGTATGTTTCCTAGATTCCCGTGGGGAACTTACAGGTCGAAGTATTCCTGTGCTGCTTCTCGTAGACTGGAATTAATAGCTCGCTTGGTAGATTCGTAGCCCATTGATCCTGGCGGGATCTTGGTCGTAAAGAAGATCTGCGATCGATCCAGATTGGAATTCAGGATTGCCTTTCCGCAGGGCTTCTCGTTACGGTACATGATTGCCGAGTCGACCTGATATTTGGTAAGTGTGCTCTTACCATTTGTCTCGGGGAACGTACATGGCGGAATCCAACATTCAGGGCTTCGAGAGTAACCTTCTCGGTCGCGGATGAGGGACTGTCGGTTGGTTAGGGGATTTAATTCAGAATGAGGGTATCAATTCAAACGTACATCATATACACCTATTGTCATACAATGTCAGCTCTCTTCCTCTCTTCCAAGGTTGAAGTTTATATAGATCTGTGTTTGAGGGGTAACTGACTCCATATCCTATAACTGGGATCTCATGTCCTGACTGTAGCTGATGCTTTGACTGGAGAGTAAGATTTGCCATATTGTTGATTGAATACGAGATGTGAAGAAGAATCAACCCAGCCCTTGTTTGATAAGAAAGCGATGAGATCATAGTGGGGGGTTGATGCGATGTTGCCCGAATAGGAATCTTCCTCTATAAAACGACACCCCACAACTTGATACATTTGTTAAACTATTCTACTATATGGATCAGATTGGGAGATTGTAATAGCAATTCAAGGTTAATCCAGCGAGTCTCATTATAGGTCTATGACGCCTGCACGAGGTTACTCTTCTTCGCGACTAACTGTGACACCGACTTTAAAGTTGCACCACCCAGGATCTCAAAAACACCCAACTCAGCCTGAAGCTCTTCGGCAAACCAATCACGCAGTTCTACCGCAACTAGCGAGTCCACTCCATATTGGTGCAAGGGCGTATTCGCATCAACATCCGCCATTGCCATGCTTACAGTCTTGGAAAGCTTTTCAGTGGATAATTCCAAGACAGCCGCATTGGCATCGGCCAAAGTCTCTGCTTGTAGTAGCGACCCTGCTCCTTTCGCGCTGTGTGGTCGACTATCTGCTTTCCCACCGAGTTTCTCATTCGTGATCAAGTGTCGGACAAGTGGGTTATCTTGCCATTGTTTCTTGTCGGAAAGTGCACTTGGTGACAAGCCAACGACAGTCTGACAATCCAGAGATGTTGGAAGACCGATCCTGGGATCACAATACTTGGCTAGCAAGGCATGGAACTGTGCTTCCGTTACCGGTGCGACACCATGGCTCCCACTGTCGGTCACGGCACCAGCGAAATCACACACCCCCAAGCCCAAGGAAGTCGCCTTCTCACTCATCCCAACACGGTGTCGAGCTAGTGCATCATGGAAAGTATTGCCGGCGGCGTAGTTGGCCTGTTCAATGGTTCCTAGAATGCCAGAGAGAGACGACAGCAAGATGAAAAAGTCCATGCCTTGGGGGAGGTGTTTGTGAAGGTTCCATGATCCTTGGACCTTGGGGCTAATGGATTCCTGCCAGAATTGGTGGGAAGTTTCTTCAAAGCGAGCATGCTAGGGAGGTTAGCCCATCTGAAAGCAAACAAAGTGATATCGATACTCACTCTCGGTACCATGGCTGCCTGGATACATCCTTTGATCCGGGGCATTTGCGATCTAGATTCACGCAAAGCGTTCTTCACCGATTCTCCATCCGAGACATTACAAGCTGGGGCCAGAACCATCACGCCTTTCAGTTCAAGGTGTTTGACAAGCTCCTTGCCCTTTTCACTTTGTCCCCCGGACCTTGACAGAAGGAGCAAATGGCGAGCTCCTTGGTCTGCCAGCCAGCACGCAATATTTCTTCCCAGGGCCCCGAATGCCCCAGAAACCACGAACGTTGCATTGGGATCCAATAAGAAACTGGGTCTGGTTCTCAACGCCATCTAGAAAATAGGGACCTATCAGAACAAGTAAATAAGAAAGGGAAAAAGCAACTTTTACCTTTACCTGATCATGTCCTCGCATCTCAATCACCATTTTACCAACATGTTGGCCAGTTTGCATCTTTCTAAATGCTTCCTCCATTTCCCCTACCCCGTATACGCTGATAGGCTGGGATGGTTGCAGGTTGCCAGCCCTCATGGAAGCAAAGACGCATTTGAGAGCAGCGATGCATACCTCGGGTCTTTCAACTGACATGGCAGCCAAGTCGATGGCGCTGAAGGTAACATTTTCAAGGAACTGGAACATGGGTAGCCCCTGGTTTGATAGAATGTCCCTTTTACCGATTTCGACGAATCGACCATAGGGCGCAATACACCTCCAAGATTCGAGCAGACCTTCCCCTGTCAGTGAGTTGAGAATAACATCGACACCCTTTCCACCCGTGCGATGCTTGATCATCTTTGAAAACACAGTCGTCCGGCTGGAGAAAATGTGGGAAGCAGGGATACCGTAGGCATCAATAAGCAGCTGTTTCTTGCTCTTAGAACTAACTGTTACAAAGATTGTTGCTTCGGCATTCTTCGCAATCTGGACTGCTGCTTGACCAATATCGCTGGACGCCGAGTGGATCAACACAGTCTCACCGGGTTCGATGTCGGCCACATTGTGTAGTGCAATGTGTGCAGTGGCCAAATCGACTGGCACAGCTGCAGCATTGGCGAAGGATATACCCTCAGGAATCTTAACGATGGGGCCAGTTTCACGGAGGCGAATCGACGTGGCAAAGCAACCGTTGTGTAGGACAGCAACAGAATCACCGACTTGGAATCGCGTACAGGCGTCACCCACTCGAATGACATTTCCAGAGCATTCGGATCCAGTATCACTCACTTTCAACTGGCCTGCTGCAATCAGGTCATCATGGGAGTTTAGCGCTGCGCATTTTATCTCGATATCGATCTCATCTGGCTGGAGTGGCTCGTAAGCAGTCTCATCTTCGATGAACTCAAATTCATTGGTTAGGCCCGGGTATGTGGCATTAAGTCGCAGTGGAGTCTGGCAGTCGAAGCTCTGCGTACAGTATTGATGAGAGGTGGCCATGGCAGATATACTCTCACTCAATGGTTTGGAAGCGATCAAGCGAGGGGTATTCAAGACTCCATCCTGCTCAATGTACTCCGTATCTGCATTTGCAGTTGATGGCGATAAGAAGAATCTAATCAACCTTGAGATATGATCGCGTTGCTTCATATTCAAGGGGCCACGAGGTTCGAGCGAAAGTAGGTGGAGTTTACGTTTGTTGTCTTCTGTCATCAGTACGCGGAATAGTCCATCCACAAGGCGGAATTGAGGCTGTGGCGGAATTATGCCTCCTCCTTGGTTAATCCATAACACCTGCGATGTTGAGGAAAGGAGACTCTGGAGTTGTTGGAACAGCTCCGGTTGGATTTCCGATAAAACGGGAACGTGAAGCTCAAGAAGGAAGATCCGTAGCAACGGATTTTCAGACGTATACTCCATCGCCTCTTGAACAGAGGAAGAACGGACAGGGGCTAGCTTGTTTGATTCACAGTGTTTAACAAGGAACTGTGCGAGCTCTTGCTGGCCCGACTCGGCAACGTCGTAGACAATTTCGATTCCCTGGATAGGATAGCCTTCTGGTGGTTCCTCGGCGGCCGTGGAAACTATCACACCAGTTTCATGGGGAATGGTTCCATCGAATTCTGGTAGGAGGAGATCTAGGCCAGAAAATCCAGTCTGGAGAAGAAGTTCGTCCCATTGTCTCTCGTCGAAGCGAGGTCCCGGTCCCGAGTCTGCGACTGAATCTGTGAAAATCAGCGTTGTCGACTGGCATTTATCGGAGATGAAAGACCTACTGAGCCAAAATCTCTCAAGAAGGCCAAACGTAAAAGTAGACCGGACACCAGGACCGATAATCTCGTACAGCATGAGCTTGCCACCTCTAGATATTATGTGTCAGATTGATTGGGACATTGAGCGCTGGAAACAACACTAACGGCTTTAGAAGCTTTCGGGCATTGGCTAGAGCATCTTTGATATTCGAAGTAGCGTGAATGACCTAGGTCAGAGTTAGTAGTTGTGATGTTTCTAGGAAGTAATGTGAGCGCACCATGGAAGCAACGACTATATCGTATGTGCCACACTCAAACCCCTGTTTTTCAGGATCCTGCTCAATGTCCAAAAGTTTAAATTGCATTCGCCCGGCCTCCTGGTGGAATTGGTCTTGGACACTAGCAAAAGACGATCCTGACTTGTCGGTAAAGTCCCACTGGGCATACTGCGGGTTACTATTTTCGGTATTCCCCAACGTACGCAGCATAACCTTTGTCATGGATCCAATTCCAGCACCGACTTCCAGAATCTTCATTCTGGGGTTGAGATGAGATAGAAGATCAAGGTATTTGCCAGCCTGCTTGAGGCCATGAGATTCATGAAGCTAGTCCTGTCGTAAGCGATAGCACTAAGGTATGGACATGAGGACTTACTTCTTCAGAGTAGAATTCCTCCATCATGTCGCCTTCAAAAAAGGTGGACGGATCCATTTCACCGGTGAGGAAATTCAATATATTTCGAGCAACAGTGACATAGAAATAACCTCTTTTGTTGAGATTCAACAATCGACTTTCGACATCCTGAAGATAGCCAAGATTAACCAGGCGATTCTTCAGCGACTCATGAAGCAGGCCTTTTTCAAGCAGGTGCTGTCGATGTAACATCCAGTCCACATATTTCTGCAAATGCGGCTGTGAGGGCTTAATCTGCTGCTCAGACAGTGTTTTCAGTGTTTCAGTGATACGCGCCATGAACATGAAATCCAAGTCAGTAAAGAAGTCCTCCGTGTCTTCCGTCAAGTCAGGGTATTCTTTGATACAAAGATCTGTGGTTTCTCTGTTGCTCAGTAGGTTGAGGTCGGGCTTCCATTGGACTTGATAGCAGAGATCTTCGGGGAGCGGAGCATTTTCCTCTGTGTTTTCTGGCCTATTGACATCTAGTTCAAGCCCTTCAACCGAAATCAGATTTTCATGTAATTCCTCGTCAAATGTGAAGATGTCAGAGGAAGAACCAATAAATGAGGATCCCACATTGCGAGCAGCAAACGTCCTCAGAATGCTGGATGACGTGTTTTGGAAGGCGCTCGCAACCCACAAACTTCTCACATACTTCGGAGCAGTAGTGGGGATATTCTCTGTTTTAGAACCCACCTCGGTCCAGATAGATGTCTGCAGAATGGCATCGAGCGTTGTTGGGTGGATCGTCTCGCCTGTTGACGAAAATAACCTTTTGACGTGCGCAGTTACGCATGGTTCCACGGGGCTAATTGACAATGTCTCAATAAGCTGGAAGGTTTCTCCATAGTCATAGCCGGAGTTCAAAAAACGGTCGTATAGACACGCGCCATCCACTGGCAATGTGCATGCTTTGATGGCATCCGAGTAGGCTTCCAATTGTGAGCTCCACAATTCCTCTGTGTGTATTTTGTCCAATTCAGGCTCCTCCGAGGAGGTGTACACGATCTGGATGAACCCAGTACAGTTCTCGATCCATTCTTCATTCTCACAGGTGCAGAGCCGAAATTCAAAGCAGCTAGAGCTTTTGGAATGGATGCCCTTGGCAGGGTGGAGGTAGAAGCTGGTCTCGATTCCGTGTGTTCCAGGTGGAACTATCATCGCGGCATGGAATCTGGCTTCTTGGATATTAAACCCGGTAATGGTTCTTCCTTGCTCCGCTACCTGCTTGGCCGCCTCAATGGCCATTACCAACATGCCAGCACCAGGGTATATAATCGTGCCATTGACCTTTTTCGTTGTTAGCTTGTAGATATTGTGCTACCTAAGTGCTCTCACCTGGTGATCTTTGGTCCAAGGCATCTCAGAAACGCGTACAAAGTTCCTCCACCGCATCTCGAAAGGATTGCAGTTCGGATCGGAGACCCCCAGGAGATCATTCCGGCCGAATGGGTGCAGCCGGTGATCTTTGCTGATTTTACTCTCATGCCAGTATGAAGTATCATGATTGAAGGGGTACTCAGGTAAATCTGGCAGTGATTTTGGAATATCACGTCCTGTAGAATTAATTCCATTCACCAGGGAAAGATCAATCGGATAGCCAGCAGTGTGCAGATTACCGAAGACGGTGAATACAGTATCGGATGCTGACATATTTCGTACCAATAATGAAAAGTATTCAGTTGGTGTGTCGTTTTCAGTGCTCTTCAATACATCCTTGCAGGCACCCTGTAAGACTGAATGTGGACCAACCTCGAGTATGTGGTCAATCTCTCTTGTCCTGCGGTGACTACCATCTAATCTCTTGTGGGAATTTGGAGCGGATCCCGAGAAAAGTTTAGTCAGTCCATCTGAGAAGCGCACTGGAGAGACCATATTCTTGACCCAATACGCAGCCTGGGAGACTTCTCCTGGATCGATCCAGTCACCGGTCACAGAGGACACCATCTCGGGGCTATTCTTATGTCCCGTATAACCTACCTCCAACTCTCCCATCGCGGCCTGATAGAGAGATGCGACTTCCTTCATTTGAGATGAATGATAGGCCAAATTGACCTTAAGCCTCCGACAAAGGATATTTTCCTTGTCAAGTATGCCTTTGAGGGAGTTGAGGTGGCTCACCTCTCCAGTAACCGTCACACTCTTGGGGCTGTTGATGCAGCCAACAATGAGATTGACAACCTCGAGATCCTTGCTGAGCTTATCGATGTACGGCTTGATCCCCTGTTCCGATAGGCCCACTGCAAGCATGGAACCTCTCATTTGGCTGGAAGTCTCCAGCTTACTACTCATATAACCTCGATAATAGGATACCTTCCAGGCTGATTGTCTGGAGATTGCACCGGCGCAGTATCTGATATAGGAGGTAAGAATAGTCTCTCAAGAGGTTGGGTTGCTTACGCTGCTGCGACCTCGCCAGATGAATGGCCTAGTACCGCTTTTGGGGTGATGTTCATAGAGCGGAGGAGATCGACCAAAGCCACCTGAAGGATTGTGCACAGAATTTGACTATACTCAGTCTTATTGATATTTGAGGTAGATTCGCTGCGTTCGAGCTCATCTAGGGTATGTTAGTAGATAGCCATGCCATGATCGATAGGTATACTTGACATACCAAGGGGCATCCATTCGCATCCTAGAGTTTGGAGATACTCGCCGGCATCCTCGATACTTTGCAGGAACACAGGGTAAATATCGAGAAGCTGGCGCCCCATCGCATACCACTGGGCGCCTTGCTGCAAAACTCTCAGTTTTGGTTATCTCAAAAGAAGAACGAACACTTACCCCAGAAAATACCATAGCAAGATTCGGTGAGCCGTGAGAATGGGAGGCTGGTGAAAATCGGTCAACCAATGCCTCCAGGTCATCTGACGGGCGAACGACAGCAAACGACCTCCATGATAGATGAGTCCGTCTACAAGCTAATGTATGAGCGAGATCATTTAGAAACTTTGGGCTTTTCTTAGCCGATTGTGAGACGGCGAGGAAGTATGACTTCCAGGTTTCTTTAAGTCGAAGAATGCCCTTTTCATCTGCTGCTGACCAGACGAGGAGTTTGGGTATATTGTTTGTTGTTTCTGTAAGTCCATTGTAGCCACTTCGATCTGAACTGGTTTCCCCCTCTGTGTGCAAATCGCAATCTCTGCATTTAGATGGCTGGAAGGGGAGCACTGTATTATGATTCCCTTTCAGGCCATTCAGTTTCATGAAGTGGTGAGCATCATCCAGCACAATATGGGCGTTCGATCCTCCATAGCCAAAAGAGCTAACTGATGCTCGTCGAAGTCCCTCCGAGGGCCAAGGTAGGGCTTTTTGTGGGAACTGGGTCCGTCAGATATAAGGACACAAGTGTTGAATTGGCTTGGCTTGCCTTGATATTTAGAAACTCGTCATCAATTCTGGGGTTCAAACTCTGCAGATTCACACTGTTGGGAGGAATGATTCCTTTCTCTAGTGCTAGAATTGTTTTTATGACTCCAGCAACTCCGCTGGCACCTTCCAGGTGCCCAATATTAGACTTCACCGACCCGCTGGATATTTTATTAACGTGAGTCAAGACTTGGAGCTTTCATACTCACATGTATAATGGATTATCTAGAGAGTGATGTGGTCGAAACACGGAGCCAATGGCTGCGGTCTCAATTGGATCTCCAATGGCAGTTCCTATGGTATGTTAGCTTGGATTGTATGCAACCTTGTGGATATTATGGTGGCCAGACCTGTTCCATGTGCTTCAAAATAGCGTGTCGTTGCCATGTCGAGTCCTGCCTTGCGATAAACCTCTTGTATTAATGTAGCCTGCATTTCGGTACTCGGTAGCGTGATTCCCGGTGTCCTTCCATCCTGGTTAGAGGCGGAAGACCTTATCACGGCTCTGATTGTATCCCCGTCTCGCACGGCATCTTCCAATGGACGAATGACAAGGACGCCAACTCCTTCGCCGCGTGCATGTCCATTGCCACGTTCGTCAAAACTGTAGCAACGACTGTCTTTAGATAGAAGTCCCAAGTTGTCCATCATCAGTGATGTCTCCAGCGCCAGGATAACGTTACTTCCAATTGCCAATCCCTAACGGTATCAGAAATGTCATTGGCTTGATTGAAACGTACACTCACCATGGTTGAGTCACTACTCCATATGGACTGACATGCCATATCAATAGCCATTAGGCTGCTTGAGCAAGCCGTGTCGATCGCAGCGCTGGGTCCTATGAGGTCAAAGAACCAGCTAATGCGGTTCGCCACCATATTTCCTGTCGTTCCTGTGATGCCCCACTTCTGTAGATATTGGGGGTCTTTTGCTTGCAGCATCAGATACTCATGGCCTGATGACCCAGCAAAAACACATGTCTTTGATCGTGCGATTCCTTCCATAGTAATGCCAGCATTCTCCAGTGCTCGATAGGCAGCTTCCAGGATCAGCCTCTGCTGAGGGTCCATAGCCTCTGCCTCTGCGGCAGTAATAGAAAAGAAAGGCGCATCAAACAGAGCAACATCCTCTTTCATGAAGTGACCTCCACGTAGAGATAAGCTATCAAGTCGATTGGCATCCAGGTTATGATGGGAATCGATGTTCAGCCGATCTGGAGGAAACTCGGTTGAGGCGCACCTCCCCTCGACGATCATATCCCAGAAGGATTCTGGAGAAACGGCATCCTGTGGGAATTTGAGTGACAGTCCAACAATTGCCAATGGCGACAATGTTTTTTCAGTTGGCCTGGACATTTTCCCTGTTTGTTACTGTTTGACGCTTGTTCTGTGCTTTGGGGATCTCAAAAAAGGAAATGGCGCCTGATAACCCCTTTAAGACAGTCTCTATGTCACCATACTGTCTCACATTCTTACCTCTGCCTACGTACATATGTGGGTAGCGGTGAACTGCAATGAAAATCCCCGGGCAAAATATTTGACACTTGGCAGTCTAAAAGCCTAGAAATCCAATTTACAACTTACAATAGCCAGCTGCTTATGCGGCCTCAGTCCTTGGCGACTTGGCGATATAAGACTCTATAAATCCGATGGGTTATATAAGAGACGTCATATGTAACAACACTCCAATGGTCTTTTGGATGTTTCTTTTAGATGTCTTTTTAAAGTGTTTTTGAGAGGTATACAAAGCCGGTAAAAACTATAAACCGTACAAAGGTCTTTTCGATGTATGACCAGGAGAATTAAGGATTGTATAATATCGCCATAATAAAAATACATTAACAATTCCATTTCACTGCAACTGCAGAGTACAACGTAGTGACGAGTTGATATATGTAGGGTAGTGGGGGCGCGTGCATACTAGTTTACACACGCTGCGCCACCTAAAAGAGATCAGCCAGGAATTCCTTGCATCTAAAGCTTACGTCCGTGGACCTTTACTGCAGGCAGATCTTCTATCTTATCTACAGAAATAGTAATGGAAAACACAAGTTGCGGTCAACTTGCTTGCTACTATTGTCCCAGATGTGATACCCCAGGTCAAAACAAGGAAGCCCAAAAAGGGGGAGTAGAGATAGCCCTGGGGGGGTCTTAATGTCCTCCACCTTGGAGCCAATCATTCAATCTACGTCAGCCAATATTCAGAAGGCAAACGCGCGTCCAAAGGGATACGTTATTTCAGGGTTTTTTTCTGGTTTTGGCGTTACATACATATTGGGGTTTGACGGCGTGAGTAGTTGGCAGTCTCGAAAAAATCTCCATTCTTCACCCCTTTTGGTCTGTCCTGCGTTATAGTTCCGTCAACATGCATTTTCTATGGTAGGATGTTCCAGGATCCCCCATTTAAAGTCCCAGGCAGCTGACAGTTCTGACAGTCTCCATGGCAGGGGCACCAATTCGGAGGTAAGATATCTTGGTTTCTCCCTCGCTCGGTCCTCATATAAAAGTTTAATCTGACGGGTTTGATTTTAACTCTACAGATCTTCAAACGGCAGACTGGTACCTTTATCTACTAATTCCATGAACAAAGCACGAACTAACATCAATTGAAGCTGCGCTTCGACATGAGCTCGGTGACAGTCACAGCTATGACTTTGTCGACGGAACCTTTCCCTCGGCACTTAACGAAGGTTTGTTTGTCCTGATGCCTATAGATCGACAAATTCTAACAAAAGATTAGATTTGAGAGAATTACTACCTCCCGATGATGAAACATTCGCCTATTGCAACCCATTGTCACCACAGTCTTGTGCAAAGGCATTCAACGACCTCGAACGCTATGTACAAACCGAAGGCCCATACGATGGTGTTATGGGGTTTAGTCTAGGTGCCACATTTGTCATGTCGTGGATGTTCAAGAAGCTGCGGGAGCAGAAAGACAACAAACCCGTGCAGCTGCCCTTTAGAGTGGGAATCTTTTTTTCTGCCCCGGGATTGCTCCAGTACCATGACTTGTTAGCCGAGGAATTATTTGGATCAAAGTTCAATCCAGCCGACGGGCTTCTTGATCTACCGACGGCTCATATCTGGGGATGTCACGACCGAGACAAGGAAAAGGCTGAGGCAGCTAGCCAGGCGTGTAATGAGCTAGTTAGGTCTGTTTTTGTTCACGACAAGGGCCATGAGATTCCTATATCTTCTGACAATGTGATCTTGATGGTCAAGGTTATTAACAGGGCCATTACAAGGGCACAAACCTAGCCTTGATCTAAAGGCTGCATTGTGAATATGTTATATTACACTCCAGACTATTACATTCCAGCGATAACTACCCATTTATTTCAGTCAACCCCGTGGAGATCTTACATTCCATGACTTACTCTAGTCAAATTGCGTATTGACTATTAACATTTAGACATGCACTCAAATGGAGCTTGTAGGAATGTTTTCGGCGATGATCTCCTTAGGCTACAGTGGTACTTTTGTTCCTGGTGAATTTCCCGTGATGCGCATCGCACTGCAGGCTGAAGCTGCGAGGCACGGGCTGTAGTCGGAGCAAGGGGATGTTCACCACGGGCGATAACGGGTTCCAAGATGGCTGAAATGCGGACATGTTTTAGAAAGCGACGACGCGCGTTTATTTCTAATCAGTGTGATGGTATCAACGATCTATTGCCACTATGTAAGGGATAGGTTTCACGTACATTTTCACTCTACTCTATTGATATGGATCATTATTTCGCCATATTGATATTGATGCGGATTACTTTTTGACGTTTGATACAGAGATTTAGGTGGAGCTTAAGCAAAGGGTTCATTAGTAGCATGTACATAATCTTGTCGAACAAAGATAGTAGATGAGCACCCACTCAGGCGAAGAATAATAATTTGGTAATTTCGCAGTTTACATAAACAGTATCCCGATTCCCGATATCTTGATCGCGTTGACAGCGAATCTCCGCAATGGTTCAAAGCCCGTGGCCAACAATGCATAGGCGATCGGGGTTACTGAGGAAGATCACCCATGATATTAGAGATTGGGCTAGATATATCAATATTGCACAGCCTTATCATGTATGTATAACAAATTCTATGTCGTCGATCGCTTGTTACCTGGGAAACAGCGACGACAATCCCATGAGCTCACCGACTTCTTCCTACGGCAATGCAGCACCAGTTTCTTACCAGATTCACCCGTGTTGACATATACAGGAGGATCTCCAAGCGCTGTGGAGTTCCAAGAAATTCACCGACTGTTCAGTTCTCCATGTGGATTTGTTTTACGATTTTCCCATTCCCGTGTATGTTTCCTTATTTGCTGCGCACATGTATGCGAAATCAATAGTACATCGATGTGCATATCAGTAGGCAGCCCAAAAATAATCTACTCTGCCTAAAAACCGATGATTTCGACCCGAAACACTTCCTTGGACTTGGCGTGGCCAATGCCAGTGGTGCTATTAGCAATTACGCAAACATGATTTTCTTGCGTGGTCCTCGCGGTTTTGTAGTGCAGGGCTTTGCGAAGTCGGAACTTGTTTGTTTAGTCACTGCCCCTGTTAACTAACTAGTAAGTTTGATATGGGGATCAAGTACCCAAAAGCCTGGATCCAGATGTCACTGGCCACTGAGACTATTATGACTTGTGCTCCGAGTGACGGCGTACTGGTGAGAATTACTCCACGCGAAGGATGGTGAGCACCAAATGGATTCTCTCCTCTTTTTCCTCTATTCTAGCCGGTTCTAGATAACTGCTGTCATTCCAAGGCTTACTGCGGCATTTCATATACATGACTGATCGCTGAAAAGTTTCATTAGTAGATACGATATAAGTCAAGGTCACATCTTAAGATTCATATTTTTTGTACTCTCGAATTCCATTTTATCGCCCTCAACCCCGATTTTGGTTATGAATTACAGGATGCGACGGTCACTAACGGTCTCCCGCGCTATTTAGCTCTAACTTCGCATCTTTAGAACGTCTCCAACCTCGGTGTGGGAGACCCGTGCAAGTTTATATCGGACACTCTACGTTATTTATGTGTCTGCGGATTTTATATTCCAAGGAAGGAGGGACATACTACAAACTCCGTGTGCAGTCAGAACCCCTCTTCATCCAAGGTAGGTAGGGTGTTATGTCCACCAACGTTAACCAAATATGCCGACCATGTGAAGAAAAGAATTAATAGAAGCCTAATATGCTTTAATTCTAGGAGTGTAAATCCATGGACACTCATATCTTAAACATCAGCTTACTCCCCCTTCCCGCTACGTTGCTGTGAGCTAGAAATCTCTATATCTTAATCATTAAGCTATAGAGATTCTTGAAAGTTTCTAAAGTGGCTAGTTATGATCTAGAAATAATTGGACTATAAGCTTAGACTATAAGAAAAGAAAAGAAAATGTTTAGATATGAGTTATCAATTGTAATATATCGAGGCCATGCGATTTCCAACCTTAAAAGTTACCTATTTTGGTTAGTGATACCACATTGGGTAAAAAGGCCTTACTATATAAGACTCCCTCGCTGTTCTTTCCATCGTCCTTCAATTCTCCTAATAACCTACGCTCATTTCATCCGCCACATACCCTTGTTGTTCTCCCTTTTCTAGCCGCCTCAACTTTCCACTTCCTCCCGACATCTGCCTTGCTTTCCGCTGTTGTCAATATATCAAGCCCAGAAAAAGAAGAACCTGTCCAAGTTCTAGGCTGTGGACCACAGATGAACATTCCTTTCTTAGCTCTCGGTTTCACCGTGCCTTGCCCAGACAGTGTCAATGAAATGGTTACCTCCGACAACACCATCTTTAACTGGAGCAGTGTGAAAATAGCAGGAATATCACCTTGAGATTGTGGTCAAATTCGGATCTCATGTCACGTTGGTCGAGGCGAAAAACATGATGTTTGTGAAACAAAATACGGAAACTCTACTAGTGCCGGAGATCTTCGCTTGCTACTCTTAGGGCCCAATCCACTGAGATATTGAAGACCACCGTAGTCTATTTGATACTTACATATTGATAGCCTTTGTGGAAGGCCAGACTCTCGAAAAAGTCTGGGAGTCTTATGATGAGGACACTAAAGCCCATGTCACCAACCAGCTCAAGAAACATCTCCCCGAACTTCGGCAGATCAGCAACGGTAGCTACATAGGCTCAGCTAATTCCGGCTCTGTTACCGACCCGATCTTGGGGAGTTATTATGTCAAAGGTTAGCAGTTGACTACGCCGATATATACACGAGTGCTAATACACATATTCAGGATCATTCGACTCCGAAGAAGCCTTCAATAATGCAATTAGCGATGCCTATCAATCCAAGGCACCAAAGCGTCATATCAAAAATCTATTATCTGGTATGGTGTGCCAAAACAACCCCCAGATCGTGTTCACCCACGGTGGCCTAGGCCTCCAGAATATCATGGTCAACGGTAAATCTGTCAGCGGGATTCTGGATTGGGGGTTTAGTGGCTGGTATCCCGAAGACTGGGAATTTTCAAAAGCTCTCTATGTCTGGAAGTGGCAAAATGATTGGACGGACTACCTAGTACAGATTCTTCGGCAGTGTTATGCTGAATATGCGGTTCATTCTTTCTTGGCTGAAACATTGTGGTGATCTTCATCTATCTTCATTCCTGTTGTTCATTCGCACACTAGTTTCATTCATGAGTACATGTAGGCTACATAGTTCCCAATAAGACAAGGACATACAGGGAAACTGGGTGGGGTTGAACTTGTCGATCATCTCGGGGACTATCCAGACCTTATAAAAAGGCGGATCGAACTAACGTTATACGGAGTGCATATTGTTCTATAAGATAAAGAACAGATCTACTATTGTGATCCTGGCTAGTGGTGACATGCCAAACGCGCTAATAGTGATAGAGATGCAGGGTGGTGTAGGGTGTGATAGTGGCTCGCAAGCATTTTGGCCAGGGCGCGTAATACCCGGACCTATGAATTACGGAATGCGGTTAGTTTTGCCTTTTTAGGTTTAGCGCCCTAATACGCCGTTCTATAAGCTCCGCCTTCTGTTGCGCCGGCATAAAAACCTCGCCATACCCTCTTGACCTTTTTTCCTTCTCTTACTTTTCCTTTAACCCCTCTATCCTACACTCGTCGCCACCCTCTTTCGCTTTATCTCGCCCCTACCTATAATTGCGCCGTCGCTTCAGCCTAACGTACTACCCCCTTTCATTTTACTAGAGATACCTGACGGAAAGCTGGTGTACGAACAATGTATGGTATAAATGACCAATGTTGACAACTCTAACTAACTAAAATGACAAAACCCGCTATTTCAACAATCTGTGCGGACAATGATGACTAACTGTAATATGCACTTTTGTATGGTATGCCTGGTACCCAATGTCATATGATGTTTCCGGTATATTACCTGGTTTCTACCATGTATTCGGACTTAGTATTCGACAATAAACAATGAATTTTGTTGCTCCTCAAGCCAACGTCGTGATTCCTCATTTAATTCCTTCATTCTTTTGTTGAACAAAATATTCAGTAAATAATATAATGATACCAGATCGAAGTCAACAGAGTAGGGGTCCGCCGGCTGGCGAGGGGGATGAACTGTCACGGAGGAATCCGCCTTACCAGCTTACTCAATTCTTGTCTCCAGTGACTATATTTGCGCCTCAGGCATCAACGCGATTTGGCCTGCACTCCGGTGCGACAGAACCTAAATATGACTCAGTCAGCACATATACAAATGTGGTCCTTCAAAATCCTGAGCACGCAGCCACCATTCTGATGTCTTCATCTCGATTACATCACTTGCCAGACCCAAATGATTCTCCAACAAGCCATTTAATTTCAGAATCGAATCGTTTATGTTGGATGTCTTCAATGAGAAAACCAACGGTTTTTGGCACTACTGTTTAGGTAGTACATCTTTTAAGCATTTTATACCCCTCACAAAATTTCATGTTACGTATTTGAAGGCTAGCCTACGGCAAAAATGATCGCCGAACATTGAAGCGACATAGAGCAGCGGCTTTCAGGAGGGTGGGCCCCTTCAGGGACGACAGAAGCACTCTGCGCCGTCCGACAATGACGATGTAGTTCCCTCTCTGCCAGCTCGAAAGATAAAGACAGATACGCCGCCGACTATGTCGGGGGAGAAGGGACGTACCTCTGGCGGGAAACACATACCAAATGCAGAGCAAACATTCGCATGCTTCTAATGCCCCAAGACATACTCCGACTATAATGGAGTGAAGAGGCATTTCAGGACATCACATTTGACGGACCGAAAATGTAATTTTTGCGATTTGTCCCATGTCCTATGGAATAAAGTGTCCACTACGCCGATTGGAAAGCTCGCCAATGGATTCCCGCATTAAGCACTTGAGGCGTCCCCTAGGTTGCCTAAGTGTTCCACTTAGAAGTGTCCTATAAACGAGGCGTCCCCTAGGTTGCCTAAGTGTTCAACTTAGAATTGTCCTGCAAACGAGGCGTCCCCTAGGTTGCCTAAGTGTTCAACTTAGAAGTGTCCTGTAAATGAGGCGTCCCCTAGGTTGCCTAAGTCTGCCTGGCGACATATAAAAGGCATTACATCTACGGTCCAGAATAATGCAGCACCATATCAATTTATTCATCTTCTCAGCTCAGAACAACCTCTTTACTTCGACTAAATCACCAAAATGATCGCATTTTCCGCAAAGAAAATCGCAGCAGCCACCTTGGTCATGGGTCTTGCAGCTCCCACCTTAGCATGTGTGGAATTTTCAGGCTACATCGATAGTCCACTCGGTTCAGGTGGCAGTCTCAAATCAGTGGATAACGGTGTGCAAACGTGCAGCGGTAACATAGAATCAGGCGATAAGAACCTTGGTAAGTCTTCGGGTTTTTATGTTTCAAAGACTCTTCTCTGTGATTCATACTTCTTAGCCTAGATCTGACCCATTCACAGACTGTATCTCGGGTTACTCGCTGAACTACGACTATACTGATAACAGTTATGATGGGCCCATGCCGGTCACTTACTGTAACCCGTCAAACTGGTAAAAACATCCATTTTCTCATAGGTTTGGCTGAATAAATACATATGCAGCTAACACATCATAGCTATGGCGTGAATATCCCATTTACTCCCAGTGGTGAGAGCTACTCTTTTGACTACTCCGCCTTTTGTCACTAGAATGCCTAGGAAGACATGTTTTACCGGGAAGCATAGATGTTATTCTGCTCGAAGCAACGGCTTAGCCCTACCCTATGGGACCCGCGGCACCGAGGCTCAGTGCCAGGCGGTAAAATGTCTTATATATGGGCAGAAAACGGCGCTAGTACCCTCGGTGCCATCAATTTTCTACCCTGGGTGCCTTTGTGCAATTCTTGATATTTTTAGCTGAAATTTTGAATACTTCTAAACTAAATATTCAATTTTCCTCTGGTCTAATTTCAGGCCTAAATCTCTACTTTCCAGGCCATGGGGACGTGGTAAAAAAGCTATGGAGTTCTTTTTGTTGGGTGCGACCGAGAGGACCCGCACCTAACCTTTACCCTCCACCAAATCCAGCCGGGATTTTCATTGTCACCTTCTCTCTACAGCCCCTAATCTCTATCTTCAACCAGAATTGAATTTGGACACCTTCAATGTCCGGTACCTGTCCGGCCTAGTGTCAAATCGTTAAATAGGGCCGCCGGATACCGGGCGAGAGATTTTGAGTTTTTAAAGAAATATTTAGACTTGTTACACACTAATAATCAAGCACTGGCAGTTAGTCTATAACCCCTAGGTTAGACTAACCTCGTAACTGTTTTATACCCCAAGCGTGTCTCGTCACCCTGTTGTAATGCCTGCTTGCACACAGCAAGTCCTAGGTGTCATGTACTCAAGTCCTTAGAGATGCTTGTAACAGAGCGTGTCGGTTAAGAGCGCCGATTAGGTCAGGTCCTTATGGGTCTCCCCTAATCGTGTGGATTTGGATTTGTGTAAACAAAAGAGTTGAACCAAGTAGTATTCCAATCTGTAGGCTCCAAGTAACAATGGAAGATTGAACGCGAAGAACTAAATACATGATGGGTAATGACAGCCTTTATATATCCAGCCCTCCCTACCCCCGAGGGGTATATGTCAAGTCGATCTACTCCCCGATATACTCCTGTATATATATCTTTGGATCACATGTTCTTTACTGGCCTGTTGTCCGGTACATACAGTAAGTAGCCTATGTACCGGATAACCTATGACGGTGGGGTTAATCAGGTTCTCGCTCAATGATTACTGGCTGAGCGGTTTCCTGCCTTGCACGTGACCTTTGTCTTCGTTGGTCATGGATGCTTCCTTGGAACTTCCTGTTTTTTCCTAGGAGCATCCTCACTGTCCCGCGAACGTGCTATCCTTTCCCGCAGGCCCCTCGTCGTTGTGGGTCCGTAACAGGCCGTTTCGAGCGGCCCGCTTGCCGTCTAATAAATTAAGCATATTGCTTCACATTACACAAAGACATTTTGGATCTCTCATCTCCGGTAGACATAGTTGTTGCTTTACCGCTCGTTGCCGCTGCAAAGTCAGCCGACATTTCAATGTATATCGGTGAAAGTCGATGATCAATGCCCAGCTAAGTTCTTTATTCCAAAGAACGTTGTCGCGCAGCAGATCTCCGTGAAAGATTCCCAAGGCTTTGATTTCTTTGTTTGATCCGCGAATTTTCCCGGTGGAACTACAGTGTCAGCTCTATCGACGCTGTATTTTCTCCCCCCTAGCCTATCACAAGCATATGATGAATCTCTCCAGCTCCATGAAATAGAATTTCGCCAAGTCGACCGTGCTCCGAACGGCTGGATGAGATCAGAAGGGCACATTAATGATCTACTATAAAGGGCCAATGTTGGAGTCCTCTAAGACCCTTTGGCCAATAACGATGTTCGTTTGTTAATCTTTGTATACCAATGCACCTTGGTAGACCCGGGACTTCTGCCCGGAAAGGCCTGATTGAAATGTTTAATCACTTCCGACCACGCAAGTTGTTCCTCTTCCTTAATTTGCACGAGCAGGCGATCTTCTTCCGCTGACCAGTCTAACCCCCTTCTCGAGAGACTGGACTCCGCAGTTGCATGGCCCCCCTCCCGTGAGGGACTGGCCATTTCCCCACCTTCACTTGAAGGTCTACGCGAAGGTATGGCCCCTGCGTCCGAGAGAGGGAGACAGCGAGACAGAACGCCCTCGAATAGCCAAGATAAAAACTGCAGTCGGTCCTCTGCAGGGCGAGCAGAGAAGTGGGGGAGAATTGTGGAAAAGGAAGGGCTCCCACGGTCTTTCTGCTGAGAAGACCGGGCACGTCTGTTCTTCCGTCGGTTGTCGATGACCGTCGAGACTTTGCTGATTTTGGCTGGCTGCCGGTCAGGTGTCGAACGCCGCGATGCGTAGCACCCCTTGCCACGGGAACGGCCGTATTTGTTCTCGGAGGGTCGCTTGCCCATCTCCCGTTCTGCTGGCATGGGAAACTAGGGATCTGGCTATCAAGACATGATTAATTTACCTCTTTCTTTTCCTTTTTCATTTTCATCTTGCATTAGGAAGGCTTCACCATATTTAGTAGTATAATTTGATTTGCGGTTCACTGCTATTCAGTTCCAATCAATACTCCTGCATCGGCAACCCTTTGTTTTCCGCACATGTAGCTTACAGCTCATGTACTGTAATATTGTTTCGAAAGAACGTTTACTGCGTAAGTTTGGCAAAATAACCCCTGCGTTTCCCCCTAACCGTATTCAGCTAGCGTGTTTCGACTTGGGGTTCCAGAACCACTTTCTGTAATATTCAACCACACTCCTGGACAGTACGGAATAGCAGTAGCCATTCAAACCAAAAATTAAAAACATTTGTACTTGGTAGATTGTTTCGATAAAAGCAAAAAAGATGTATTAAATGCCATGCATCACATGAACATTTCTAAAATCCAACAGCCACCTTTCTATGTATACAGATACAAATCTTCAGCCCACCAAACTAAACCTTTCTTTCCAGCTCCTTCTGAGCCTCGGCGTCGACTTGCTCTTGCAACTTACGGTCCGCCTCACGTTTAAGTTGGTCGGGACGACGAAGAGCAATATCTTTGGGACGGAAGTCACTGAACAGGTGCTTGAGAACATTCTCAATCAACCAGCAGCCACCGTAGTCGAAGATCATCAGCACGGTCAGAGTCATCTTGAACTCATTGGTGAAGGGAACTAGGCGCAGCTTCTCATTCAGCTCGGGAATAAATTCGGTGGCGCAGGAGAATGCAACACCCGATGCGGCGATGAGACCCCAGTACATTCCCTTGTTCTCGCGGATGGACTCGCGGAAGGGACGACCTTGATAGTTGATCGAGAAGGTGGAGATTTGCTGGATCAGCTGGAGGAGGTAGATGGCACTGTTCAGGAGGGAAGGCTCAAACTCGCCCTCGAGATCAATATCGGAATCTCTTCTGTCGGTTTTGTTAGCCATGAAGTGGGACAAATCAAAGGGAGGTTCTCATAACGTACGGCTCGTGCTTATATACGTAGTTGGAGAGGTAGACCAGAGTCGCAATGTGGATGGCGAACTGTCCAAGAACAGATCCGATGATGTAGACGTTGAAGATATTCGGCTGGGGACGCTCCTTAGACAGACCCTCGACAGACTTCACACATTAAAACATTAGCAACCCTTTTTGTCAACATGGGGAAGGAAGTACAACATACCTTGGCGCGGGAAATAGAAAGGAAGCAGACACTCATCAGCATACCACTGATGGTGACCTGTCCATCACCGAACTTAATACCATCCAGGTAGATAACACTCAGACTGTAGGCGCTAATCAAGCAGTTCAAAGCAAGGATCTTGTACATCTGAATAGTCGCAACCAGGGTGCAACGACCTTGGCGAAGAATGTTAGGGATAGCAATAACGTTGGCTAACTTGCTGGTGAAGGGAGCAGCGACTGAGGCATCACCCAACTTGATAGTGGGAGGCTCGCTGTCATCCAGCTCCTGTTCCATCATAGAAGATGTAAGCTTGTCTGCAAGGCCAGCTGCGGCAGCCTGGGCCTTCTGCTGCTTCTGCTGCTGGGGGGTCAAGTTCGATTCCTGCAAGGCCTGAGCGCCAGGAGATGTGATAGTCGGGATAGCCTCGGGGGTTCCTCCAGGAGCGGTGACCGCGGCACCCTTGCGCTGCGACTCCCGCTCCATGGCTTTCTCATAGTGTGGGTTGGAAGGACCAGGGGGATACAGGTGAGCGATCTGAACAGGGACTGGAGGGGCGGGCTGGTTGAATCGTTGCATCATGCTGACCTGCTTCTCGTACAGCTCCTTCATCTTGGTGGTCCGATAGTGTTCAGCGATCCTGGTGAGATCATCTTGCGAGCCATTCAGAAGCGCGACACCGACGTGAGCCTGCTTCAGAGCGCCAACATCGTTGGTGCCATCACCGCACATCAGAGTGGTGTATCCAGCGTCTTTGAGACCGAGAAGGATATCTTCCTTTTGCTTGGGAGACACACGAGCATAAACCCAAGTGTGGCGCAGCAGATCAGGGAGAGCCTTCTGGTCCTTGAACTTGGCCAGAGCATATCCAGTGATACAGATATCCTTGGTCTTCAGGATCTCCGGGTCGAGGGGCTTAGTGGGGTCGACGTCGATATTGAGCTTGTCATCGACGGTACGCCAGACAATCCTAGTTCCAGAGTTGTCATGTTCGGGAGCATCAAGAATGAGAACCTCACGATCAACAATTTCAACCTTGCGTGCGACGTGGACAGCGGTCAACGGGTTATCACCGGTGATCATGACAACACGGTGGCTGCTCTCATTCAGCATACGGACAGACTTGATGGCATCATCCTTCAGGGGGCACTGCAGGACAAGGAAACCGGCAAAAATCAGCTCGGATTCAACCTCTTCGCGGACGTAGTTGTTCACGCGGCCCTGGGAAAGCTCGGATTCAGATGAAAGGTACTTGTATGCAAGAGCAAGCACACGAGCACCATTGCGGGTGAAGTGCTTGTAAGTTTCTTCGTAGTTGGGCGGTGTGTTGACTAGCATAGAGTTGATGGTCTCAGGGGCACCCTTGACACCCACAAAAGTAGACTTGACCTTCTTGGAAGTCCTGCGGTCATTGGTCGTAATGGTCGCGATAGTACTCTGGCGTTTCAGCGCCGAGGAGAACTGGAATCTTCTCTTGATTTGAACAGACTCGACATTCCGACCGGAGATAACGGGGGCATTACCCTTAGAAGACAGAGTATCGTTCTTGCCCAGAGTCCAGCCAAGCCATTCCAAGGTAGCCTTTTCCATGGGGTCGCCGACGACTTCGCCCTCATCCAGTTTCACTAAAGCGTGAGCACTGGCGAGAACGAGAGTGGTGTCGGGTCCAACAGCAGCGGAAGTGGCCAATTCGGTGTGAGCACCATCTGCTTCGACCTTCGAACCAGCCTCACCTAAAGTGAGTCCAGCAATACCATCAACAACAAGGTCCTCTCCGGTCAGGGTACCGGTCTTGTCGAAGCAAGCGATGTCAACACGACCAGCGAAGGGGATACGGAAAGGCTCGGTGCAGAAAATGGCATACTTGCTCAAAGCAGCAAGACTAGTGTTAACGGCCAAGCTCAGTTCCATAGGCAACTCGGGAGGAACAACACTGGTGATGATGAGGACACAGTCGAGCAGAAGCTTGGAGCGTTTGCGGTCCCGGATCACACCCTCTTGCCACACGTACCACGAAGCGGCAATTGCGAAAATCAGGAGGAAGAGAATGAACAGCAGTGCTTCAACATTATTGGCAGAGACACGTTCAGTTGAGTAGATCATGGTCCGGACGAGGCTACCCTGGCTAGTTTCGAAACCGGTCTTAACAACCACACCCAAAGCGCCATTGTCTGGAGGCATGGTAACGTTGCTGGACAAGTTCTTCAAACTCGAGTCGGCAGTAAGGTTAGGGTGAGTAACTTGGAGGACCTTGGTACCTCCATGCACAAACGAGAGCTTATCCAACCCATCCGGTTCAATCAGGTCAGCACCCGGACGGAGCTGGACGGAGTCTTTCAGAAGAGGTGTACTCTCACCAGAAAGCATAGCCTCATTCACAATGACACTGCCTTCAACCAGGAGAATATCGCAGGCAACGCCGCTGTCCTCCTTGGTGCGGTTCACTGACATGAGATCACCGGGAAGAAGCTTGTCACTGGTGACCTCCTGCCACTTCCGTTCACGGTATACCCAAACATCATAAGGCTTGATGCTCATTCCGCGGAACTCGCTCAAGGTCCTCTGGCGCTGCCACACAACGGTGCTCTCAAACATAACGAGCATGAAGAGAGTGAAGAGCGAGTAGTACCAGTATTCATCCAACATCCACAATCCTACACAGAAAATCTGGAAGACAAAGAAAGGCGCGACAGCATGCTCCTGGAAGAGCTCAAGGAAACCAGGAACGGGGATATCGAAGGTGTTGTCGCCATAGTGGTGGTAGATGCGGTCAATCTCGGCCTTCGACGTGAAGCCCTCGCTCAGCTGGAAAGTCTCAAGGGTTGGCTTTGGTTCGGCGTCAAGGACGTAAGACAAGGGTGCGAAGTTGCGAGTCTCAGGGTAGAAGAGGAAGCGGCGCTTCTGGAAGAGGAACGAAAGTGTCTTCTTGGGGCCGGTAGTCTCATAAATCAATTTGCAGATCTCGGCAGAGCCAGCGTTGGTGATGGGGACCACTTTGATAAGGCGGGCAGTGTCGATAGACTTGGCTCGAGTAGTGGTGAATAGGGTGTTGATATCAATGTTCCACTTCGTCATTAGCCAAAAGAGCGACTGAATTGTGATGATAGACCCCGCGAACACGAAGGTCCATTCCTGTCCCTGAATGTAGGTATCATAACGCTCGGGAGAGAGGTAGAAGGCGAAGAACACGGGCCAGATAATCAGGAAAGGCCAGACGTATGTATGCAATTGCCAAGGGATTGGGTTATGCAACGAGGCAGTATGGATCTGAGGGTCGTCCACGAGCTTTGCCCTGTATACTGTTAGCTGCAGCCAAAGCATCCGGGGGATGTTCTGGTAACACACATGGTGGCAATCTAGTGACCGCGGTCAGAGTCAAACAACCAGAAAAATTAAAGACTCATACGAAGCCAGAAAGCAATGAAGAGATCCAATCGAGGAAAGGCCCAGATTCGTAGATGAAGCCACCTTCCACCTTACAATTTTGGTTCCAGAGGATTCGCCGCTCGACGCGCTAGCATTATGTCAGCCTGCCTCCGACCGCCTTAGGTTTATGTAGCACTAAGTTGCTCTCCTCTTCAACAGCCCAGCCGGGCTAGCTCAATCGGTAGAGCGTAAGACTCTTAATCTTAAGGCTGCGGGTTCGACCCCCGCGTTCGGCTATTCCTAAAAACCAAACCTAAGATTTCTTTTTTTCTCTTTTCTTTTGGATCGTCGTCATAGTGCTATTCTTATGGGATTTTTGTTATTTGGGTGTAGAGTTAACACTATATGTACTTATGCTAAGACACCGTGGTGGACATCGAATCAACTCTTAATATGGTATATAGTTTGTTTTAATGTCTGGGCGACATGCCGTTGTCGTCTGCTTGGGTTCATTTGTAGTGTGCCGATATATATATCACACGGATGCCTTGGACTTTCCTACCTAGCTTGCTCCATCCACCTTCTTGTCCGCTATCTCTTGAGTTAGTCCTGTCACCATCTCCGTCAACATCCTAACCTGCTCCCGCAGCGCTCTGAGTTCATATGTACAACTATCAACCTTGATATCCGCCGTGGTCTCTACCACCTGCTGTTTCCAAGTATCATCAAGATCAAAACTGACCTCCTTAGCGACATGCTCCCATTCCTGAGCACAGTCATCGTCTTCTTCGCCATGGCGGCGATTCCATCGAATCTTGTGCGCCTGACGGGTCTCAACCCAGGCTGCAACGACAAGAAGAGGGGAATAGATCACACCCATTACAAAGTCATTCAGCTTAGCGTAGGCCTCCCGCGAAAGCCACCACTCGAATGGTGCTATCAGGAAAAGAATTTCGACGAGGTTGAATGCTAGTACCCAGGGTAAGTTAGCCACACACGTGCTATCGAAATCGAGAAAATACGTACGTGGGATGAAGACATTCTCATCTGGGGCGCGGACGAACTGCATGGTTTTCTGCGCGAAGATGGCCATGTACTCGTCCGTCGCGTTGCCAGAAATATCTTCATATGCGCTGTTGTACAAGGCGATGAGAATATTCAACAAAACTGATTACTGTTAACATTATCCCAAACAAGTTGAATGCAAACTCACCAGTCATTACAATGAAGTTGAAAGCATAGTAGAGGATGATGCCGAAGGGAAATGCGAAGTCCTGGAATGTGTCGAACTCAGGACTCTGCATGATAGTGTTTACCATTCCCTGGAGAATGTTTCGGTGGAGGGGGATATCGGCATCCACTTGGGCCATGCCGACAAACGCCTGGAAGAAACCAGCCATAACCACAAATAGAAGAGCAAAGAATATCAAGCTCTCCTTCATCATGACCCGAAGAACCACAAACATAGCACCGAAGAAGCGGAACGAGTCAAGATAGAGCATCATACGCATCCAGAACATAGGACCCGCAAAAGCCAGGAAATTGTAGCTGAGCTCGTTGTATAGCCGCCTTTGTTCATCGTGTGTAGATGATGAGTGTGCCAAGGCAATGAAACGCATGATAAGTGACACCGCCAGGATGGCGTAGAGGGTTGAGTTGAAGGCATTCCAGAATTCGAGGTAGTTCCATCCAACCTTCCAAAACTTGATCCCCTCATCGCAGATGAACGCAAGAGTCATACCGTAAAGAATGGCCTCGGCCACATCCACATCACCGCTTGGGTTCACGGTATTTATAACTGCCGTATAAACCGTAAGGTAAATCAAAGAGAACAGAATTTGGCAGACATTCTGATACAAAGGAGTTCGCATCCGATCAGGATGGAAATGAACCCAATACCCGGTGTTAGACTTCTCGCTGTATTCGACAAAGTTAGTTGGGTTACCCTCTTCCTGGCAGATCCAGCCCTTCCACAGGTACTGGATGCATCTCTGGTACGGGGCAGAGCTAATGATTCTCAATGCATGGAGATCTACCGCTCGCTCAATGACATTGGCAGGATCGGTTTCTACCCCCTCAGTGAAGATAGAGTATCGTTTGAGTAGAATGTCCCTCAACACGTAATCTTGGTTCTGCTCCGATTCGATACTGTTGAAGTTAGTCAGTAAATAGCAGAAAACGCGAAATATCAAGAGGGCATTACATGCGCTTGGCGATGACCTCGCAAGCCACAGCCCGAACCCCGTGAAGGTCCGAATCCCAAAGCTCGACGGAGGATTGGATCTTGAACCATCGCAGACAAACCAGAAGACAATAAACAACGCATGCTTTGTATTCGTCTCCCCCAGCCTGCTTGGCAGTCTCAACCACATCGTCCGTGATGATGCGGCTGTTTGGGTCGGTCAAGACATTCTCCTGCACTTCGCAGGAGACAACCTGCTCAATTTGATATTTCAGCCGAAGAGCAACCTTGGCAATTTCCTTTGAAGACCGAGAGGTGTCAGACTCATCGGCGGCATATGCCGGTAGCACTGCGACTTGTTAGCATTGTTCCACATCGCGTATTTGGAAATGACGTACGCCGACGACGTTCCACCTCGACGCGGTGCCGGGTCCTGCCAGGATCGGCGGTAAAAATATTTCTCCAATGTCCCATAGCGCGTGGGAATATCGAAAATGAAGGGGAAGAAGAGTGAAAAGAACAGAAAAGGGAGAGTTCTGCTCGAGAGTTTTCGGCTTGAGGGGGGCACCAATGATGATCGGCGGTAGATAAGCTTTAGCTCACCTCCATTTAAAGGGCATTTGATCTTAAATTCATAGGGGAAATGGATTTATATATCTATATGTAGGTACATAAGGTATTATCTACAAGGGTACGATTTGCATTTTAAAAGCATGACTGGCATTGAACGTCTCGGTTGCATCGCAAACATTATGTGCATTAGAACTTGCACCCTGTGTGGACCCAGAGTCTTTGACAGACGGTGGGCACGAGGATTTCGACCGCAATTGGCATGCAGCGAATACACAGGCGTGGATAAATCATCCCCAGACCCGAAGTTCAGGCGACTGCCCTGGCTAAAGGGCGAGTTCTGACTGCAATCCTGCCCATCAGCACACTGAGCCATTGAGCCTTTCTCCGATATGTGCAAGCTTTTTTCTATCCATTTTTGCCCAACTCTCCTCTAGCGGTGATTCCAGCTTTGGATTCCAGCGCTGATGACCGCTGTATGCCCCTCGACTCGGAGTTATAACCCGTAGCTTACTCGGGAACACCCTCATCACTTTCGGAGTCCTCATCTCCGCTGACCTGGGTGTTCTCACGCTCGCGCTTCTCCATAAGCTCCTGGAGGATCGCATCGTCGTGCTCAGTGACGGCCTTGGGTGCCATCTTCACGGTGCAGCTACCGCCGTTCGCCTTGATACGCTCTTCGATTTTCACGATGGCCTCCTCAAGCAACTTAACACCGAGGGTCTTGTCGAGACATTGGCTGGCCAGGACGTAGAGAGGAGGAGCCACCAGTCTGACCTTGATCTGGTTCTCAGGGGTGTTGTCGGCCTCAGCGGTACGGAGGGCATCCTTGACGGCATCGATTCCATCGTAACCGAAGCAGGTAACCTCGATATCGGCACGGACCTTGGTAGGGTGGGGGGTCAGCTTGCTGTTGATGTATTGCTGCAGCTCACTCTTGACGGCATCGCTGGGGAAGGTAATCTCATCCCAGACGTTGGGGTTCCTGGAAAACAACTGTCAGATAAATTCGATGATATCATGAGACAAAAAGCACAAGAACCTACGTAATGGAGATCTTGAAGGCATCGTGCGCGTGGCCGTATTTGTGGTTCAAAGGCCACCCGATGTTCTCGTATAGGGTCTCGAGGGGGGTCTGAGTCGCCTCTGCGACGTGGCGCATGATGGAGTGCACTGCCTTGCTCTTGTTGTAACGTTCCTCGCACTTGATGACATCCTCGGGAGAGACACGTCGCTTCGACAGATCAATGTAACCTTTAAGTTGACAAGTTAGTTCTCGCGTTCTTTCAGGCGAATAGTGTATCCTTGCCTTTCTCCTTGTCGACACGAAGCACGATGACGACCTCGTTGCGCCCAATACGGATGAGCTTTTGGATACTGCGAATACGTCTGCGAGAGAGTTCTGAGAGGAGAATCATGCCGTCGATGTTGTCATATTCAAGCAGCTTCACGTATGCGCCCATCTCGGCGATCTAGCTCGTTCACACAAAAATTAGTCCCCGTCGCTTTGGACGCCCAGTTAATGGCTCAGTTGATCCGTACCTGCTTGACATTGACCATGACGAAGCTATCCACCTCCGGATACTTGTCCTCATAGAACCGACAGTTTGTTAAAGACATCTTGGCGGGGTTCTGTTTTTTTTTTCTCGGGGAAATCTTAGGTGCGAAAGAGACGGATTTGATGGCACAATCGAGACGGTCGATATGTTGGCCAACAGGGTATGAGTGATTGTAAAGTCAGAAATACAGGAGCGCAGAGGGGAGAGGCAACGCGAATGAGGCACAATCTATCTCTTTGTGGCGGACTTCAAAACCCACATTGACCTGATCGGTCACGGGACTGAAAGGCACGTGATTGTGCTTTACACCGCCTTCCAATTGGAAGTTCCAGTTGTTTGGTCTTGGCTGACACATCAACAATCGATTACGTCAACGGAAATCAACCTGCAACTTTACAAGACGGGCAGTTCTTTGTATACACTTAGATACTTGATGACATCGATGGCATCTACGAATCAGAGAATTCCCTAGGATTATGCTTACCATGCTCCTTATCTTCATTGCACAGTCATTCTCCGAGGATCATCGTTGAATTAGCGATAACGCCTACTTTCCCCGCTTATCAGTCCCCTAGCGCGCCAGGCCCTTGGCCCTTGCCTGACCGACAAAAACAATTTGGCCTGGGCTTGTCGTCCCAATTCTGAATTGCTTTTAATCTCTTATTATAACCAGCATTTATGGCGGGCTACTTCGTATCTTACTTTTTAACCTAACATTCTTCAGGCGTCTCTTTCCAAACGATCATGTCTGAGACAAGTTCATTGCTCCCCGGGGAATCCGACGGACTCGGACGTCGGACTCTACGAGACCGCATTGTCGACGCTTTCCGTTCGCCGCCTCAAACCGGTCTTGGGATTTCGACAAGCTCAAGCCATGGAAACCACACGGTACAGGGCAACCAAACCGGCACCGGGATTACGAGCGAACCAGACGCGAGAACTCGTCTTCTGGAATCATACCTCCAAGCCGATCCTGCGTGCGGTGAAAGGCGCTGCAGCCATGGTACATTCTCACCCCAGGTAGAAGATGTGGGAAGACAGTCATACATGGGAGGGTCAGGCGATGGATTTGGATATAACGGACATGAAGTGGCAGACGGAGCGGACGGTCACCATAGAGGTGTGGTAGCCCACCCGGAGTCAGTCCCAGATTCAGAGAGTCCGTCACAGATGAAATCATCTTTCACTCTTCCAATAACCGATACGAATAAACAGTAGGTCGTATTTTATTCACGTACTGCGAGCGCTTTTGTAGCCCGCCTCAGGAATAGTAACTGACTCAATGGCAGATACATATCCTACTATATTCCTTTTTTCAACTGGATTGGACAATATCATTGGTCGTTCCTGCGCGGTGATCTCATGGCTGCGGTGACCGTGGCATCCATCTATATCCCGATGGCCCTCTCTTTGGCCTCCAATCTTGCTCATGCACCACCCATCAGCGGCCTCTACTCCTTCGTCATCCATCCCTTGGTCTATGCCATCCTAGGAAGCTGCCCTCTCCTGGTAGTTGGACCAGAGGCCGCGGGTTCCCTGCTGACGGGTGCTATTGTCAAAGCAAGTGTCATGCAAGGGAACTCAGGCGAGGACGACTCTACAGAAACTGCTCTTATTGTGGGAGTGGCTACTGCCATGTCCGGCGGTATGATTTTGGTTGCCGGACTAACCCGCTTGGGTTTTTTGGACAATGTGCTCAGCCGGCCATTCTTGAGAGGATTCATCACTGCCATCGGCTTTGTGATTTTTGTAGACCAGCTTATTCCAGAATTGGGTTTGGCCGAGTATGCCAAAGAAACCGGTGTCAGTCATGGCACCAGTGTTGAAAAATTGATTTTCATCTTTCGATACGCTCGAGAGTGCCATGGATTAACTGCTATCGTTTCGATCGTTAGCTTTTCTGTCATCATGGTGTTCAGGTTTGTACCGCGTCCCCGGGTTGACATCCATCATACTGACCCTCCGCAGAACTTTGAAAAAGATGCTTGTGCCTCGTATCCCACAAGTAATTTATTTCCCAGACCGCTTCCTGGTTGTTGCCCTGTCGGCGGTCTTGGCCTGGCACCTCGACTGGGAAGCCAAAGGGCTCGAAATTCTTGGACCTACAGAGGTTGCCTCTGGAGGACTATTCGCTTTCAATTGGCCTTTCCAGCTTGCGAAGATGAAACATGTGCGCACAGCATTGAGCAAAGCCTTTATAATCGCGCTACTTGGCTTCTTTGAGTCATCTGTTGCGGCTAAGGGACTGGGCGAAGGCAGTTCCGCTGGGATTAAGGGAATGCACATGAGTGCCAATCGTGAGATGGTTGCACTAGGTGTTGCCAATGTCATCGGAGGTTGCTTCTCGGCTCTGCCTGCATTTGGCGGATACGGGCGAAGCAAGCTTAGCTCACAGACAGGAGCACGGTCACCTATGACTAGTGTTTTCGTGAGCATGATCACATTCACATGCGTCTTGGTCCTTTTGCCTTATCTCTACTATCTCCCGGTTCGTCTCTTTCGAACGTACACTAGACCGATATGGCTTTTCCCATATGCTAACCATTCCAATTCCCAAATAGAAAGCAGTTCTGTGCTCCATGATCTCCGTGGTAGCCTTCACTCTAGTAGAAGAATGCCCGCATGACCTAATCTTCTTCTTCCGCCTGAGAGGCTGGTCAGAGCTCGTCCTTATGCTCCTCATCTTCACAACAACAATTTTCTACTCCCTAGAACTAGGCATGGCGATGGGAATAGGCCTATCTGTGATAATCCTTATCCGACACGCAACGGCCCCCCGAATTCAGATTATGGGCAAGGTCCTCGGCACAGACGCACGTTTTGATAATGCCGAACTCCACCCAGAAAACGTGGAGCTAGTCGAAGGCGCCCTGATCGTCAAGATCCCCGAACCGCTCACCTTTGCCAACACAGGCGATCTCAAGAACCGTCTGCGACGTCTGGAACTCTACGGATCCACTCATGCTCATCCTTCTTTGCCGCGCATGCGCGCGCCGGAACATAATAAGAATATCATTTTCGATGTTCATGGTGTTACGAGTATTGATGGGTCTGGTACCCAGGTTCTCTCGGAGATTGTGCATGCGTACGCGGAGCAACGCGTGCGAGTTTTCTTCTGCCGCTTGCCGAATAGAAGCGTGTTCCGCATGTTTGAGCGGAGTGGTATTGTTGAGACTTGCGGTGGGTTGACTCATTTCGTGCCCAGTGTTGATGAGGCGCTGCGGTTGGCGGAATCTGAGAATCAGACGCAGGAGATATAGTGTCCATCTTGCTAAAATTGGTGACATGTGTTTAGATATGGTGTGAATATCTTGTACGGACATATTGCATTTTTGCCATCTATAGATAATCAAAAAATATGGTGCTACTTGACTTATTGTCATAGAGCAACATTTTGCGAGATAGAGAACATGATCAATTATTCCTGCCCCCGGTAACTAGCTTTAGTTTTATTGGGTTCAATGGGGACTGGAGTAAATCTTTATGCTTTGCTATGCACCACGACCAGGTCTCCTGGGCGTGCCATCTTGGAAATGAAGGCCGGCGTTGCAACATCTGCAGTACCACGGTGATGGAACACTGGGTCAAGGAGCGACCCTAGCAGCTGCAATTTAGCTGCACCGGTTTGCACTTCGTTGCGCAGTCGTGTATTGGCCACGAGTTCAGTGGGCTGAATAGACTCAAGAGCAAAGCTATGAGCTCTGTGGATCGAGGCAGGAGTCATATTGATGGATTTTCACTTGCTCGGTCTGAGCTCCGGAGATATTTTAACATGTCCCAGTTTCACACTGACACAGAAAACCCTCCAGAAGTTCATGTAGTCGAATGATCCTCCACAACAGCCTTCCGGATCACCGACAGCAGAAGCGACACCCCCGCCTCTAAAGCAAGTTCATTCTTATCGTCTCGAACTCGAGAGCCCTCATCCCCATCCCCGGAATCCCTATCAGCAGCCACAACCAGCTTCACACGTCCTTCACCACCCAAAACAAATGCAGAACAGGCAACCTTCGACAGTCGCACGTGCTGTTTAACAGGTTGGTTTGAAGACGACCCATCCAGATCCAGCTTCATGGCAAGATGCGTCTCCAGGTACGAGGTAAGATTGGAAATGAAAGGGCTGCGCAGTTTATGCTGAAGACTGCGCGACTTCAGCGCCAACTGTCCAGGCTGATCGCGGAGGAAGCCCGCTAGTGAAGCGCGCGCGACGCTAACATTGAGGGATCTCAGCGCTGGTGCGATCGATGATGAAAAGGAGAGCGTGAGCTGTAACTCTTTAATAACATCTTCGACTGTGTCGCTTGTTCTTGGCCGTTGAGTGCGTAGGGCATCGATGTACGTCTCTAGACCCGCACAGAGAAAGCTTGACGACAGCCGTAGGGGCGAGCAGTAAGTGTCGAAATTGGTAGATAAGAAAGTGATGAAAGTTTGTCGGAGCGCAGTCGGGAATCTGATTAGAAGGAGAGGGAGAGATGTAGATCCCGTGCGCTGATTTGTGGATGATTTTGTGTCTGCGAGCAAAGCTGCTTTGTAGACGATGTTTTCGTATTCCAACGTTACTAGCATTCCAGGAAATGGGGTATTCTGGGATCTGCTTGGCGCTTTGTCGCGCAATGATTGAGAGATTGGCCGCCATAGACAATCTTTTAGGGCGCCTGTTTTGGAGAGCGCATCGTCGTCTGCTGCACTAGTGCTTGTATGAATACTAGCGAGGACATCTCCTGTGAGATGGTCGCGTAGACGCGTTGCATATGTTTTCAAGGCGACCTGGTTGTCTAGGAGTGTTTCACAGTCCTTTCCATGATGGAGAGGAGAGAGACGGTGAATAGTCCAAGAAGTGTTGAACAACTGTTGGTGGTCTGCTTGTTCCATGGCATCCAATTTGTGAGTTTAAAATAAACTCGGCTAATTTCTGCTACAATTGAAGCATATCGTCAGCGAGAAAGATTGATACTTGGCGATGTACATGGCGACGCGTGCCGGTTGCAAACAAAGCAAACACCTATCATGTCCTTAAATCACTGGGACTACAACTGCCAGTACGTTTCTTCTGGTTTGAGAAGAGAGAAATAATGAGGATGAAATGGAATGCAAATGCAATTGGTTGAAACTTTCATCTACCCAACGCCAGTATACCCCCAGTATAAGAATCTAGACGCCAGGCGCCTCCAACACTTAAAACGCTTAAACTCAACGTATCATGCCTGCCATCCTCTCGTGGGATGGCAATCCGGACACCCAAAAACAATTGGAATACCATTCCAGACCCACACATGCTCTACATCATGGGGTATCGCTCGCCGGGCTTTCAACTCAGCCGCAGCAGCAGCAAACCAGATATCTTGCACTGAACTATGCAAGTTCTGCGCAGACGTGCGCGCAAAAACAACCGAGTTCATGTGATCCTTTTCATACTTCGTCGTGTCCCTATAGAAGTTGTACATAAAGTCCTTGCGTTGTGTTCGCTGGCTCCCACCGTCCCCGATCTCGGCAGAGAAAAACTCGACGATCCGCACAAACGGCGCCAATGTGAGCAGCGAGCTAATCCACGAGTCATCGATCTCGGCTTGTCCATCTAAAGACATGGCGTAGCGAATATATGAAACAAGTAAATGCATGCAATGGTGTGTCGCAACCAACGCCGCCGTGTTGGTGAAGGGAGGGCTTTGCAGGATCCGGGTTTGTAGTTCGCGGTACATCCTCTGGCGTATCTCGAGTGGTAATGGTACAGGCAGCTGGCCCGCCTCATATTTTTGCACGAGCATGTTCGTGTGCTCGTGTCGAGCGGACGCATATGTTTCGAGGAAATAGAGTGTATAGTACCTGGTAAAGAGGTCAGCTACCTGCTGGAGTAAAGCAATTTCCCGCCGTTCTTACATGAGTGGTGCAAGATGGAACCATATGCTAGCTATACCACGTTTGACAAGGGCATTGCGCTCGTTTCGCTTTGCAGGAAATGAGGCCTTCATGACGGCCGGTTCGGTCTGGATGAATCGATCGAGGATCCGATCCGCTAGGTAGTAGCAGAGCCTTGAGCAGAGCATCTGTCTGCGTCTCAGCCCATGCAGGTATTTGAAGGTATAGAGATGACCGCCCCTGGCGCTTTTGGACGGTGGGAATAGGTCTGATAACAGCACGACATCGTCGCCAGGGTTTCGAGTATAGGTGCGGTCATCGTCGATTGGGGATGGAAGGGTACCGTGGCGACGCAAGCGGAGGTACTGTCGGACAATCTCATGCTCATTCCTGGTGAGCAGTTGATAAAAAGCCTTGCAGACGAGTCTCAGCGGATGGAAGTCGGTGATGCCGGAATATGCGAATATGCGGATTTGAATCTCAACTGGGAGGTCCCATGGCGAGAAAGGAGGAAGATCTGCATGGTCAGTTCTGATAGAGAAGTGAGTCAGTGAATTTCGGCGTATTGTCGCAAAATAACTCACCTCAGAGACGATCCTCGCTGGTCCTTGGCGCCCGCCTTTCTCCTGTTGTGGATCGCGGCCCGGACTTTTTGAACGGAGAGGGCTAATTTGGCAAAGCCAGTCATTCTTCAGCCCTGCAACACATGAATTGACTGGCTCCCAACGAGAGGCGCACTTTGCCGGGGCTCATGAAGATAAAACAGGTCGATTGAAGGGGGCAATCTTAGCTAGGTTCCATAAATAGCACATGACTAAGCGCTTGATGGTCCACTTCTGCGATCGGAATATATTGAGAGGTCGAGTAGCATTACAACATCCAAGCGCAGATCAAATGCTAATCTTCAGTGAAACATGTTAAGCTTGGCTCTCACGTTGAATACGACCAAGGCCAAAGACTAGACAAAGTCTAAGAAAGTAACATCCAATATTGTAAAGAATCATAGTTCCACCTAAATGTAGGCAATGATCTGATATGAGCATGATATACGAAGTAATCAAGTTTTTATTAGACTACGAAAGTTACTGTGTACCCAGAACAAACTGGTCAGAGATAGACCCCCCTGTCTGTTCATCCAGGCCTGGGCAGCAATTACGTCATTCCTCAATGGCGTGCCCAAGGCAACTCTGGAGATATATAAAGACCTTCCTATACACATACCATCGAGCATATTACTCCAACTTACAAAATGACCAACATTCTTATTCTAGGTGCCACTCGAGGACTGGGTGCCTCTCTGCGGACACTGTACTCCACAAAGACAGCGACCAATGTGTTTGCAACCTCCCGATCCTCCAACCCAGAGCCAAGCCCAGGAGTCACCTGGCTGACAGGAATTGATATCTCCCAACCAGATGTGGGCCAAAAGCTTGTTTCGCAGCTTCCATCTACAAAGATCTCAACAGTCATCGTCAGCGCCGGATACTTTGGCTTTGAAACATTCGATGCTCCAGACTGGGAGAAACAAGTTCAAATGTATACGACTTCTGCGATTGGTCCCGTATTTGTGGTGCACAATCTCGTTAAAGCCGGGTTGTTGGACCAGGGGAGTAAAGTGATCCTGATCAGCAGTGAGAGCGGCAGCATCACTTTGCGCCACGAGAAGGAAGGCGGGGGCAACTTTGGCCACCATGCCAGTAAGGCTGCTTTGAATATGGTCGGGAAACTTTTGAGTCTGGACTTGAAGCCGAAAGGAATTGCAGTCGGTCTGGTACATCCTGGATTCATGCGTACAGAGATGACGAAGGGCGTTGGATTCGATAAGTACTGGGATGCAGGTGGAGGTGAGCGATCAGTGCACTACTCTTACAGGCCTTATGAACCCCGGAATGTGTTGGATTTAACCTGATATCTCTTTGCAAACAGCCGTAACGCCAGATGAAGCAGCGAAAACGCTTGCGTCTTTCATTGAGGAATTCGATCTTAGCAAAACTGGAGAATACTGGGCACCAGGAGGACCAGGGTAAGATATTTGATTGTCTATTACCAGAGACTATACTAATCTCTCCATGACAGAGATATTGGCACCGCAGAGGACGTTCTTGGGAAGAACCTGCCGACTCCTTTGCAACTTCCGTGGTAGAGAGTGAAAGAATGAATATGAGCTACCATAGCCACAAGTCTCGCTTTCTTGGTCAGATACCGAGTACGCACCAAATTCAGAGTGGCCATTTCAATCTAATTACGGCTGCGCATGCGGTCTCGCACACATAAACACTAAATCCCTTCCAATATCCTTTCGCTCTTCACGTCCAACGACCTTCACACCAAACATTTTTGCGTAGAAAGCCTGCAGGCGCTCATCATCAGTGAGCAACATAATCCGACGTAGATACGGCATATTCTCCCTGGAAAGGGTCTCGGCAACACAACCCACAAGCCATTTCCCAAGTCCACCGCCTTGGTACTCGGGGAGAACGTAGATATCCGACAGATAGGCAAATGAACAACCATCTGTTACCACACGAGCAAGTCCAATCTGCTCAGTGTTCCCCGAAGACGGGGTGATAGAATCATTCACAGATTCTGCGGGTTGCGTCCACCTGTACACGCCGAAACTCAAGGCGCCGTGAAGCATCTGCCACAGCACCTCCTCTGGGAAGGGCTTTTTGACCCAGTAAACGAAGTCTCTATCGTATGCGGCATTGACTGCTTTCACAGAGAGTAAACTTGGTTCGGTTGAGATGAAAAATCCGGGGCTAGTGTCTCGTGTCCATGTTTTAGGTGGGTGTCCACTTGTCGGCGGGGTAGAGGACATGGCGGATGTAAAGAAGGTTGAGTTGTTGCGTGCTGGGCTGTGTTCCAAAAGATATGTGGTTGGGCTTTAAGAAATGAATGGTATCTTGAGACAATCTCGCTGTATAGTAATAGTTGAAGAAATTGAAGTATGATTATCATTTGTGATGCACTAAATCTACACTTGAGATTATGACTCATGACACATCGGTCTTATAAAACGAACATGCGGAGACCTTTCAACAATTTAAAACCACTGTTTCCTAGAAAAATAAACTGCAAGTAGTAAAGCATCCAAAAAAAAACCAAACTTTCGACATTAAAATTGCATGGTTTGGGGCCGAGAAGCCATTATTATACCATGCCCCGAGTGAAACAAACCAGAATCTGAATCCATCCAAGAACCCCCACCTCCACCTAGCCATTCTTGCCAAATTGCTCATAATTAACTGAGACCTCATCCGTTCTTTCAATACCTGCAGCTCCCCGAAGAATATTCTCATTGCTAGCGTTTGCTGGGTTATTATTCGTGACGGCGGGGTTATGAGAAGTACCACGCTCGTCAACTGTAGATTCAAGGCCGGATTTTGAAAAACGGGTCCTGTCTCGACCACTGCCATACAATGGCAATCTATAGGAGGTATCACCCGAGGAGCTGCTCGTGCCATCCGGTCCGTATTTGACGTAGATGTAGAGGGGACGGAGGACGGGGATGGACGAACCCATGATCGTGACGCAGCTCTCGGTGGCAGACCAGATGAGCATTGGGACCGTATCATCTAAAGTCGGATTAGCTCTACCGTCACGAAAGAAATATTCAGAGAACGTACATATGTACTCCGATGCATTTAATCCGCCCAGGGCTTTGGTGCGGATAATGCCACATACTCCAGCACTAGGGTTATCTCGTCAGATTAATATTCAAGAGAGTGAGGTATTCCTAGACTCACAATACTCCAAGGCTGAGACCACAGGCAACGGTGATCTTTTCCTTCTGTTTCATGTTGAGATCCCAGACAATGAACCAGGGGAGGATCGCAAAGGAGAAGTCTGCAGCGACAAACCAGGCTGTAAAATCCCAGGATTAGTGCTCAGGTATGCAAATCGGGGCAACTTGGTACTCACATCCAACAGTGTAACCAACCTTGGAAAAGTCGAGCCAACAATGGCCTGGCGTAGTTGGGTTCCAGGATTTCTCAACTGGAATACACTGCACTATAACAGTAATGCTGGCGAAAAGAGTAATAAAAGCAGTGATTGCAAGACAAGCCCAGATAATCACCCTCTGGATTCTATTCCGCACAATTCGAAGAAGAAATACGCCCACAGTGGCTTTTCCCACGCCAATGACCATTATTCCAGCTACCTGGCTGAATAACTCATACTTGACAGCCGTAAAATAGATGACTGGATCACCGACATCAGCATACAGCTGCCCGAGGCCGTAAACGGTTGCTTCTGTGACAAAGGCAGTGTAAAGAATATGAAGAACCTGTAGTATGTTAGAAAGTGCATGACAAAGGTTGTACTGTGTTTTGTTGTTCTCACCAGTGCAATCAAAACTAGATAATCATCCAGACCAACGGAGTTGAGAATGTGTTTTCGGGTATAGAGCCTTAGCCCGGCGAAGACCGCAAATACAACAGCCTCCACCCAGAGAACTGCATTGGTCATGGGCCCTAAGCCTCCGTACACACCCATATTCAAGATAACTCGTGGTTCAAGATAAGGTGGAAGAATGAGTGGTAGAGACAACGCTGGTCCAGACAACAAGATCAGTATCGAACTTTTATCTTTTATCTTGAGTGCTATGCCTTCAGATACATCAATTTCTATCAACTGAGAGCAAAGACACACCACTCCGTCAGCATTGTCTCCTGTGCAATCTTGTCTCCTACCAATGATCCGCCGCAATAGTACGCCATTGAGTTTTGAGCGCTGTCAAGCTCCATCAAGGATCATACTAGGGTGAGATTGGTATTGATCCTATAAACTCTACAACACGTACTAGAGCGTAAAAGGCCATGATGAAGACGACGATCTTGTGAGCTACCTATGTAACAAGGAGCCCTTTGGGCTGTGGGTCATGAAGTATAAAATTACATTGAGAAACCGGCCCCGGGGAGAAATCAAGCCACCCGTGCCGCCTCATGTTACTTTGCATCCCTAATTTAATCTTGATCTTTAAGCCATGTTCCTCTCGCGCAAGGGGAACAATATGATATATACATGTAATGGATTCAATCCAGGGTCTTGAGCTATAACATTTAGTGGGGACCCGTTAGTCACGCCAAGCCTTCAATTACAAGTTGTTGACCTTTTCTTGATTCTTCCTCGACCCCACCATAATGACGGACATACTACGACTGGAATTGTTGATCCAAATCACAGCACTAGTAAAAAGTAATAAAGTTTCGTTCTATACACTTCTGCGTGTCGCTCCTACATAGAAGGCAGCTTTTGAACCTTTGATCTACGCTGGCTTTGCCATATCTAGCAACGATGGGCATAAAGAAGAGGGGCAACCTGGGAGTTCTCTGTCACAATTTCGAAACCTCATGTCCGTTCGCGCTATATGGCGAAACTGGATCCGCAAGCTAGAATATGATATCCTCGTCCCTTACGATCTCCTTGACTGGACCGCACGCAAATCGTGGCGAAAATTATACTATAGACAACCCAATCAGGAAGGCGATACCGAACGGGGATAGAGTATATGAGAAGTAAGGATTGAAGAATACTTCTAGCGGATTGTCATTTGGCTAGGCTATGCGGCACAACGTATGCCCTGTTTAAAAGGCCTAGAATTTGAAGTCGAGGAGACGGAGGAGACGGATCATTCGATACTATATACTACGAAGTTTCCAAACTAGCCGGCCAATGAATTAATTGGGCTTCTTGGTTGGGTTTGCTGAACATCATCTACCAAAATCGAAATGCGACGGAATTCCCCGAGAGATTATCAGCAGTATATTAATTCTACGAGATGTATCCAGTGGCCACACAAAAGTGGCCACAAAAGTCCAATCTAAGGTTTTGACAGATCCGCGCTTTAACGCAACCCTTCGATTGGAAGCACTGACTGCTATTTCCCCGGCTATGTACTCCGTATATCCCTTGCAGTGGCGCGGCATGTGGCAGATCCTTTCTAAATGTGGCTAGATGAGTGGGTATCGCTTCGAGAATATAGGCTGTCACAAATCTAATCAAGCGGGGATTTAGACTGAGCATTGTACAGGTAAGTCCAAGTCCTGGAAGGTGGTTAGCTTCGCGCATCTGCCCTAACCAGGTAACTCCGATGAGAATTGACCTTGGCTAAGGAAATCCCCTGGAGGTCATGTCGCGGCATTTGGTGTATTTCCAAAGGCTTGGGTCGCACATATAATAGAGCTAGAACCATCAGTAGATTAATTTTCTTATTATCCTATGAGGCCACTACCAGTTTTCCAATTATTCAAGTCCCGGCCAAAATCGGAAGTGCAAAATGCCATCTCAAACGGAAGTCATTGCAGCTCTTGATGCAGCCAAGCCTAAATGGTTTAGCCACAATGGCGCAGAGTACGTCCAAGCTCATGCAGGAGATCTACTGCCATTTGAAACCGACAGAATCATTGGCTCGCTTGACACCATCGAACCTGGGGTGTTTGCCGGAAACGAAGTCGAACGTCTAAAGGTACGCGCTGCTGCACGTCGCCTACTTGCAAGAGTAGAAACACCGTATGAGCGTGCCTGGGGCTTCTGCTTCGAACAGCCTGTCGTCTTTGCCGCTCTACAGACATGCATCGACTTGGGTCTTTGGAAGTCCTGGACAGGTGTTGGGGGTGAGAAGTCTATCGACGAACTGGTCGCATTTACCACTCCCACTGTTGATACAAATCTGCTGCGTAAGCTCTCTCTTCATAAAATGCATATTTTAACCCAGCAAGGCTCATAAAGTATGCAGGTCGACTGTTCCGCTTACTCGCTGCTTTCAACGTGGTTGAAGAGACAGGGGAAGACAGATTCAAACCGACCCCGTTCTCGAACGCTATCGGCGACGAGAGCACCAAGGTGCGCGCCTCACTTCAGGCAGCGTAAGAATACCTGTATCCTCTGATGTTGGTCTAATGTCATTCTAACATTTTGACGTTTCAGAACCAATCAATACCTTGCTGCTGGCCACAACCTGCCAGCGTACCTAGCAAAGATATCCTACAAAGAGCCCACGGATGTCAATACGAATAACCACTCAGGCAGTGACCCTGATGGTCTCAATTTCTTTGGGCGATTGCAGAAAACCCCTGCTTGCTTTGAAGCTTTCACTGGTCACATGGAGGCCTGGACAGCATGGAAGACCCCGTGGACCAAGGTCTACGATACAACAAAGCTGCTGAAGGGTGCGAAGCTGGACAATGGCTCTCCCTTCGTGGTTGATGTGGGTGGAAACACTGGGATTGATATTTCCCACGTTCTTGCAAAACACCCAGACCTTCCTGCTGGATCGCTAGTGCTGCAGGATCTTCCAGAAGTGATTTCCAACGCGCAAGTTGATAAAAAGATCACTGCTATGGTTCACGATTTCTTTTTACCTCAGCCGGTGAAAGGTAAGAGCAATCCCAGTACAGATAATTGAGGATATTTACTAACATCCAAACCACAGGGAGCCGTGCGTACTTTATGCACGCAGTTCTTCACGATTGGCCAGATGACAAGGCTAAGCAATTGCTTGTGAACACCAAAGATGCTATGGTCAAGGGATACTCCAAGCTATTTATTTATGATATTGTTCTTCCACCAACGGGGGCGAGTATCAGTCAGGCTACAATGGATGTGGAGATGATGTCGCTGTTGTCGGCTTCCGAGCGAACACAAGGCACTTGGACGAAGCTGTTGACTGATGCTGGGTTTAAAATTGTTAAATTTTGGCCTGATCCTCAGCAGTATGAGATGGTTATTGAGGCCGAGATTGCCTAGATTTGTTTTGCTCGGTGGATTATTCTTTACGAACTTTCTTTCAGTCCTACTCGAAATTCATCCAGTTGGCAGTTTTTATATTTGCCCTGTACGTATACTGTCTAACAAAGTAATTACTTGACTTGGTGGGTGAGCCCTGGGAATGATCGATCAAAAAGAGTAAGAAAAAAAAGTAGTATATAGAATGGTGAAGGTTGATACATACCACTGTAGTACCAACATTGTCAGTACATTGGTTTGGCTTAACCTCCTTCATTTAATTAGAGACATACAAATACATTCAATTGCAGAAGGAATATAAATTGAACTAGAACTTCAAAGACTATGTTGAATACTTTGGCATGTATAAGTCAGGCAGGTCTTTGGGATATTCCCCAAGAGCTCTAATCGGCCGAGATATCAAATGGCGACATCCCAATTTCAAGCAAACGATACCCCAATACCCACTCCGCAATGGCGTGGCGAGTGGAGAGGATGGTGTTCACGATAACCCCCTCGGCACGTCATCACGGACCGCGATGATGTTAGCGACATCAAATCAGTCGCCAGAACATCACAATATAGCCACATATCCGACTCCAACAGTCCAAATGAAGCCACTTATCAGATTCAACGTGCGGGATTGCAATTCGTATTAGGTGGCGTGTAAATCGTTTCACATGACGTGCAGGCACGCGGGGGTGCAAGTCCATCTACAAGAATGGCGGGATATCCAGCTCGGTACGACAGCGTATATATATGCTGTGATCGCTTGAAGGCTTGTCATGAGAAGCGAGAAAATAAAAGCCCACCATGAGTCTTGTGCAATCCCCTGAGGTGGCCCTTCCCTTGTCGAATATCGGACCTACCTCGGAATCGATTAAGGGTCCCTCGGGCTTGAATGGATCCACTACCGTAACGGTGGATAGCGATGTTAGCGGGTTATCAGAGAAGAATGAGAATGTCCGATTTGAACTAGAGGAACACCCGGTTGATGTGGTGCGACCCATCAAGGTTGGTATTATCGGTGCGGGTCTTGCAGGGATCACTGCGGGCGTGTTGCTCCCTGCGAAACTGCCGGGACTTGATCTTCGAATCTACGATAAGAATGCCGATGTGGTATGTTAGTCTCAATTGATGTTTCAATGTTGTTTTGACGCTAACTATGTTCTTAGGGAGGCACATGGTATATATTCCATTCCGCTCTTGTCTTCATTGCTGTGGGTTGCTAAATTCGTATCAAACAGGTTCGAGAATACATATCCCGGTGTTCGCTGCGATATTCCTGCACATGTATACCAATCCAGCATCTCACCAAATACCCAATGGACGGAAGAATTCGCCCAGGGAGAGGAGATCAAACAATACTGGCAGGGTGTTGCACGGAGGCACAATGTGTACCAGTACCTTCGTGCGGGACAAAGAGTGCAGAAGGCCGAATGGCAACCCGAGAAAGGAAAGTGGAATGTCACTGTTGAGCATGTGGATGGTTCGAAGGTAAGAAATGGTTGTTGATCCTTGAGGTTCTTTGCTCACATCAATACAACAGATCTATGAGGAAGAGCTGGATGTGGTAATCAACGCTATCGGTCATTTCAATGCCTGGAAGCTACCCGACTATGAAGGAATCAACAATTACAAGGGAAAACTGTTCCACTCCTCTAACTGGGATCCAAACATCGATCTGAAAGACAAGCGAATTGCTCTTATCGGAAATGGCGCTTCCGGCTTGCAGGTTCTACCATCCATTCAACCATTTGCTAGTCATGTTGATCATTACGCTCGGAATCCAACTTGGATTGCAGATTCATTCAGCAGTGGAAGCGCGGGAGTCCGTCGACTGGAGGCAAATTTGTTCTCCGAGACACAGCTAGAGTCATGGAAAGATCCCAAGGCGTATCTGGAATACCGAAGGGATGTCGAGAAGGGATATTTCCAGCGCTTTGGGGCAATTTTCAAAAACACACCTGAAAATGAAGAACTGCGAGAGAAATGGACCGCCCTAATGCTGCAGCGCATTGCAGGAAAGCCAGAATTGGCAGACAAGATCATCCCAGACTTTCCCCCGGCGTGCCGTCGTCCAACGCCAGGCCCCGGGTATCTAGAGGCCCTATCCAAAGAAAATGTCGACTACATCCAGACGCGCATCAAACGGTTCACGGAGAAAGGCATTGTGACCGAAGACGGCGTGGAGCGAGACGTAGACATCACTATCTGCGCAACAGGCGCCAACGTCGATCACGCACCCCCATTCTCCATCATCGCCGACGGAGTTGACCTAAAGAAAGCCTGGAAACAAGACGGCAAATTCGGATTCCCGTACTCATACCTCGGCTTCGCAACACCCGGATTCCCCAACCTCCTTTGGCTTGGCGGCCCATACTCCTCGGGACACAGTGGGACGGTTCCCAACAACGTCGAGAACCAAGTGACATACATCGCGAAAGTACTGCGCAAGATCCGCACACAGGGAATCAAGTCGATCGTCCCGTCCAAGCAAGCGGCCGATGATTTTGTCGAGTACTGCGACCAGTTCTACCCGCGCACTGTGTGGTCGGCGAACTGTAGCTCGTGGTACAACGGTGGCAAGCCCGGGTCTCGTATTCATGGTCTCTTCCCCGGTAGTGCATCGCATTCGAATTATATTCGTAGGGATCCGCGCTGGGAGGATTGGGAGTATACATATGTTAATCAAAGTGGGAATCGGTTTGCTTACTTTGGTAATGGGTGGACTACGAAAGAGCTGACTCCTGATTCTGAATTGACGCCTCATTTGAAATTGCCGGAGGAGATTAATTTGAAGACTCACATGGAGGGGTGGTGGGATGTTTGAGGGGGTTTGATAGACTAGATCATTACAATGCAAGGTTTTATTTCCTATTTAGAAATACCTATAACTATAGATAAATTATGTAGCGTTGGATAATACTATTCTTATTCTTTTTGGCTGCTGTTCTCCCATAACTATTTTCAAACATCGATTTAGTATATTTGATAAGGAAAAGATGAAGCCATATGATATTCAAACACGTGCTAATTATGTAGCAACAAAAGGGTTCGATATTTTTTTTCTAATACAAATATGCTACTAATTCGACTCCTCCAATGAATAAGGAGGCGCCTCCTGACCCTCCTTCCAGAAGTATTTCGCGCCAGGGTGCGCATCAGGAAGTCTAGACTGACCCTTCTTCCCATACATGTTCTCGCGGAAAGTGCCTCCTTTGACAGCATAGTCCGACCAGAACAGACCACGGCGCTGCAACTCGGGCAACAACAAGCGAATAACATCATCAAAGGTATCAGGAAGACTAGCATAGCTGAAATTGAACCCGTCAACATCGCCAACACTCACCCATCGCTCCAGCTCATCAGCCACCGTCTTCACGCTTCCAATAATCTTAACACCATTACCACCGAGCACCAAATACTCAGCAATAGTCTTCTTATCCCACTTTTGGCCCTCGGTGCCAGGCACCGTACTAGCCCAGTGATTCACCATACTGCGAACAGCAGGAAGCTCCACGAAACGGAAGTCCTGATCATCAGAGTATGTCGACAAATCATATCCAGTCCAACCACCAAAAAGAGCAAGCGCGCCCTCCCGATCACCATACGTCTTCAGCTCCTCAAACTTAGCATTCGCTTCCTCGTCCGTCTCAGCAACGATCACCAACGCACCCGCAATAACCTTGATATCCTGCGGGTTGCGTCCAATCTCCGCAGCCTGTTGACGGATACTATCAACAGAAGGACGAACGAGCTCAGGCTTCTGTGCATGCAAGAACACAGCCTCGGCATGCTTCGCCGCGAATGCCTTACCCGCCGTCGAAGTACCAGCCTGCAAGATAAACGGTGTGCGCTGGGGACTCGGCTCACAGAGATGAGGGCCAGGAACCTGGAAGTATTTCCCCTTGTGATTGATTTCACGGACAGCCTTTGGATCCGCATAACCCTGTGTCTTGCTCTCGGAGCCCTGTTTCCAGGACACGGCATCGTCTCTCCAAGACGCCTCCCACAACTTGTATGTGACGTCGAGGTACTCGTCCGCGATGCGGTATCGCTCATCATGCTCGACCTGTGTGTCAAGACCGAAGTTTCGAGCTGCGGAGTCGAGATATGAGGTAACGATGTTCCAGCCGATACGACCATTGCTGAGATGGTCTACTGTTGAGAAATGTCTTGCTAGGGCGTAGGGGGAGTCGTATGTTGTTGAGGCAGTTACGCCGAAGCTGATTGATTCTGTAGCTGCTGCCATGGCGGGGACGCTGTAGAGGGGGTCGTTGATTGGGAATTGGGCGGCCGCGGGGATTGTTGGGGAGAGGTTTGAGGGACCTCTGTATACATCGTAGCCTCCTAGGACGTCTGCGAAGAAGATGGCGTGGAATTTGGCATCTTCGAGCTTTTTGGCTAGAGCGATCCAGTGCTTTATGTTCTTGTAGTCTGCGCCTTGGTCTGTTGGGTGTCGGAATAGACCTGGGTTTAGGTGACTTGGCGATTGCATTGCAAAGGCATTGATGATGAGTTGTTTCTTTCCGGAAGACATGGTGATGGGTGTCTGTCTGGTTGAGAGGGGGTTGGATTAATTGTTTGATTGTTTACAGTAGCTCTGGAGGAGTAGATTATATTTATTGTCCCTGCATGTGTATGTGTTTAACCCCGCGACGCATTGCCGTGAGACGCGCAAAAAGACGTGCAGTTGGAGGCCGATGGCGTCAGCATGTGTGGGGTTGTACATAAATGACTATTGGGGTTTGAGGACATCGGGGACTTCATAGATCAATACTATTGGATAACATAGTACATGTATGTTGCACTTGGATGTTGTGCGTCTATCTTCTCTCGGGCGAGTGAAGAAGTATGGCATATGGCGTGACTTTGACCTGTATAGGAATAAGGGATTTGATTTACTATTTTCTATGTGGGGACTATATTCATACTTGCTATTGATCCTGGTACTGATAATAGTTAATTGTGTATCTGGTTTCCTAGAGATGTTAGTACGACTTGATGCTTCAAGTGATATATATATCCTGGTTTGGTATCTTGGAAAGGTTATTACCCGATTTGGTCAATACTTGCAAATATAGAATCTGACATAGTAGCCTTAAAAATATCAAACTATTCGCATTATTGCTCAGTCTATTCATATCAAAAAAAGATAAAAATGAATATAAAATGTTAATATTCCACCAACAAAAGATATAAACTAAAACCAAAAAAAGACAAAAAAAAGAAGTGCATCATCCGTGAATCGAACACGGGCCTCGTCGATGGCAACGACGAATTCTACCACTAGACCAATGATGCTAGTTGATATAAGATGGTTCGCAATTATGCAATATAAGTATATCACTGAGGACTAAAAGCCATAAGGCGTATTAAAGTTTCCTTTCCAGTGCCGTATCCACCAAGCCGAGCCTCTTAGCACTGCCCTGATATTGGAGAGTTTTCTAGGCACTGCCTCCTTAGTCTTGGGGCCATGGGGGGCCGAAAACCATACACTATTGGTTCTCTGAACTTCCAATATGTTTCACGTATTCGCTTTCGTTCTCGAGAGGCTCCCAGGGTCCTGAGGTCCTGACAGTTCATGTGATGGCCAATATAAAGTCTTTCCATTGCATGGCCACACTATCCCGTGGAATCCACCTGTGCCCTGCGCCTTGGAACTTTAGAAGACATCTGGAAGCCTGAGCTATCACGTGTGCACATCCAATACAAAAGTACACCTATGACGACGCCCAGACATGCCCGATCGGAATCTATAACGTCGGCGATGCGAAGATACAACGCAAGATTTGAATGGGAATGGAAGATTACCTTGCATCTACATATTACAACGTATGGTTTCTACCTACTCGAAGTTATAGCCACTAGTCCCTATGTTGTATATCAATTGTTCCGGTAAGTTGAGTTCGCGCTGCAAACAGCTATGACGAGCCTAGCGGGTATTCGGCCCCCCAATCTGCATGGACCAGCGCCCGACCATAGACTCAGCCTTGAGGAGAGATAGGTTTGGAATTATTAGTCCAATCATATTCAATCCTGTTGGTATTAAAGAGGTGGTTCCACTGCACTGCGGAGAAGTGCAGGGAAGCTCTGTTGTTTACCTTTGGAACATTTAAAACCTGAGTTCCCCCCTCTCATCCCTTCCATATCAGAATCCTACCTTGTATATCCACATATCCAACATACTCAAAACTACGATATTTTAACCATGTCTGAAAACGGCGCAAGCAGCAGCAAGGCTCCCGTCACTGATCGTGGAATACACCAACCTCTGGTTGATGTCCAGCCATTTCGCATGAGCGATCTGCAGCCCAAATACGCGCATCAAATCAACCATGCTGATGATAACCCCGATGCGCATGGCTGGTACGCCGGTTTGAGTGAGTTGCGCCAATCCCCATACGCCCCGTGACTCTCATCTTAACCATACCTCGTTTAGTCCATAGCCTAGGTGAATGCATCGGATTTTTCGGAGCTATCCCCTGCTGCATCTGCTGCCCCAACCCCTTCAAGCCTGTCGATCAGGGTGCAGTCGGTTTGATCTCGCGATTTGGACGGTTAGTGACCCCGCTCTCGGTCACGTTCATCGAATACCTCTCACTGACAATGATTATTATAGCTTCGAGCGATCGGTCGATCCTGGTCTGGTCAAGATCAACCCACTCAGCGAACACATCATCACGGTCGATGTCAAGATTCAGATCGTGGAGGTACCCCGTCAGGTTTGCATGACTAAGGATAACGTCACCCTCAACCTGACCTCTGTCATCTACTACCAAGTGGTTTCTCCCCACAAGACCGCCTTCGGTATCTCGAACGTGCGGCAAGCCCTGGTCGAGCGCACCCAGACAACACTGCGCCACGTGATCGGCGCGCGAGTGTTGCAAGATGTGATCGAGCGTCGCGAGGAGATCGCTCAGTCGACCTCGGAGATCATCGAGGAGGTAGCAGCCGGATGGGGAGTGAAGGTCGAGTCGATGTTGATCAAGGACATCATCTTCAGCAACGACCTGCAAGACTCGCTCTCTATGGCGGCGCAGTCGAAGCGTATCGGTGAAAGCAAGGTTATTGCCGCGCGCGCCGAGGTCGAATCCGCCAAGTTGATGCGCCAGGCTGCCGATATCCTATCCTCCGCCCCGGCTATGCAGATCCGCTACCTCGAAGCGATGCAGGCTATGGCCAAGACTGCCAACAGCAAGGTTATTTTCCTGCCTGGAGTGGCCCCGACCCAGCAACTGGAAGCCGCTACTAATGCAGGAGAGGGCCCGAGCAACTACGGTGCCCCGACCCTCAGCAATGATGGTGGCTTCCAGGGTGCGATCAACGCTCGTGTTGTCGAAGACATCTAGATGTGACCTCGATGCTTTACCTGTGTTGTCTCTTTCCCTTATTTAATTGGTCAATATCTTGCATGAAGATATGACCCTTCCCTCGATTTGTGATTTACCTTGCCTTTTCCGGAAAGTGGACCCCTCGAAGTTGTTTCCAGACAGCTCATTTGTCTACGCTCCGAGGATTTAATTGTTTTTGTATTATGGCTGGACGTGATTGGATCCATGACGATACCCACCTTCGTTTGCTGCTGTTATTGCAGCCGTTTTAATGTCTCAATGACTGCACATGTACTTTGCTCCTACTTATTTTTAGTGTAATGCAACCTTCGCTCCATATTGCTCCCTCTTTCTTTGTTCCACCTAATATGCCCAGGAGCAATGTAAGATAATGTACACCGATAACAACGCGACTCACTGTTTGACTGATGATTCGGAGAACGCCCGCCTTTTAACCACTTAGAATGACTCATGTCAGAAGGGGCTGGAAGTTTTTAAATTAGTGAAATCCACATAAGAAATAACATTCTCGTATGGAGCTCGCAGGCGGGACCTCTAGCGTTGTGGCGAATACGCGAACGACTGGGCCTTCTGAACTAGATGCGGCAAACCCCGGACCGAAGTTCGTACATGAACTTGGTGCTTAGGCTTTCTTTTGTTTTTGCTTTCTTGTTTTGCGAATCAGAATTATACCCACCTTCCCTCGCTCGGCTCCCGGTCTTTGCAATACTTGGCCGACATGGGTCATAGAATTGAGGCTTGAATGCTTTTGTGTATAGACGCATGCTATTTCTGTTAAATGTCTTGGATTGGAATCGATGGGCAGCGATTTGAAGTCTCGGCTTGGGCTTGTCGAGTCTTATATCCGTATATATGGCCTCACCTGTTTGATGGGACCTGTTTGGGGCTACACGGCTTCCATCGGATGTAAATATGGCCCAGCTTCAGAGATCATACATTATAACCACCCTTTTCAGTTTTACCATTCCTTATTTTCCGTTGTCTTTGGCTTGCTCTCCTTTTACCTCTAGGAATCCATTCTCCCGGGGTACATACATTAACACCTGCCGAAAAGAAGCCGAGCTATGCATTATATTATGCCTTAGGTCATCGAATCTAGTGCAAACGGCGCAGTAAGCTGGCCAGAATCAATTCAGGCTACATTTTATGAAATGGCCTGGATATGTAGGCTACTATAAAACACTGGAGGCAACCTACCTCTGCTGACCCCTATGATTAACCTACCTTCTGACTTTGAATCAATTCGGCCTGCATATGTAGGCCACAATACAACACCAGAAGTAATTCGCGTTAACTGTCATAATCTAGACCTCCCCTGATTGATATTTATCTCATATCCAACTTGTCATATATTATTCCCTCTGATTCCATGGTTTCAAAACCAAGGATCTTGCACTATTCTTTCTGGTTACCCTTTACCATCTATCAAAGTCCATGATGATATCTACTACGACCAAAGAACAATGAAGCCAACCTACCAGCCAAATCCTAGCTTTTCTATACTCAGCATCCCCGCCTTCATCCCGCTAGTAACCTCGCTCTGCTACTACCATGATGGAACCGTCGCGTCAAATCCTATATATCAACCATGCATCTCCATCAAAGACACGATAGGCATGTGCTGCGCCAGTAACCGATCAAACCCAGCTGGCGGCAGCAACACTAACGGAGTTACTTCGGACGAATGTCTCGCCAATGGACTGTGCATGAATGTACTGACGTACAGAAACAGCTCCGGGGAATCGGGCACAAATACTACATACTGGCGCAATCAGTGTACGATTTCCGACTGGACGAATAATGGATGTTTGAGTGTGTGTACCAAGGGGTCGGTATGTGTTTTTGATCCCAAGCCGGGTTTCATATTGAAGGGAATATGGAAACTTCTCGTGAATTATGAATGAGTATTTCGGGTGTATGGTGAGCTAATAATTGGGATTTGCTAGATACCAAGTGGTGGGTCGGACTTTTCTGCCAAGATGACATCTTGCGATGGCACTGCGAACTCGACGACTTGGTGTTGTGGGGATAATGCTAGGTGCTGCAATACTTCATCTAAAATTACGATAGCTCAGAAGCTGGGTGAACACACTTCTACCTCATTATCGCATTTGATACCAAGCTCAGCATCTACTTCTTTGAGCTCAAGCCCAACGTCTACCTCGACGCCATCCTCGCCCTCATCGTCTCAACTTTCAGGCGGTGTTATGGCTGGGATCGCTGTCGGCAGCGTTCTTGGGGCTATTGCATTCCTGGCTATTATTTACTTTTTGTTTGCGCGATGGAAAAAGAAAATAATTCAGAGAGAGAATGAAGCAGAAGGATTAGCGATAAATCTTCGCCCGGGTTCTCGTCCTCTAGAGCTCGAGAATCTTATTCAGACTGTTGCACATGAGAAGGCAACTGGGCCCCAGGATGTTAGGGCTGAGCTCCCAAGTGAGCCGGTGGGACGAACAGTGGATTAAAATATTGAATGAAGAAGTAAGATATGTAGGAAAACATGTAACTATTGGTTGATCACTTTTGTTTACGCCGTATAGATCTCAGACCAAAAACGGCCAGAAGCTATACCTAAAATGGAAATAGAAGGCGGTGGGGCGTGGAGATATCGATCCTCCCCGCGGAGGCCAGCTCTCTCTTCAAGCGTGAATTGACATCGAGACAGATTGCCAAAGCTCCTAAATCAGAGCTTCACAGAAATGGCATCACAAACATACAGCTCGTCAACTCGAGCCGGCGTCAAACCATTAAACCAACCCAATGCATCCCCTAACTTCGCCGACCCGAACTTCGACCCAGCCGACTTCCTCAATGACTCTCTATCACCGCTGACTGTGGCATCATCACAACCTAATGCCTCTCGAGCACCCGGATCTGTGCCACTGACAGAGCTGTCCACGCAGGTCCAGTCCCTCCTCTCCCAGATTAGCGCCCAAAACATCCGTCTCTCGAGCACATTATCCCAACTCACCGACGAAATCCTCCGAAGCGGTGGACGACTAGCCTACGAAGTCGAAGTCCTACGAGGCGAGACAATTGGGCTATCCGAAACCCTTACCGAAGTTCTACGCGACGACATAACAAAGTTCGTCCCGGAGCCCTCACCAGAAGACGGGCGCAAGACCGAACAAGCCGAGGAGGATGCGCCAACAAACGAAGACGAGTCAACAGCAAGCCCAGACGACAAGAACAAACCAGTCGTCCCCACAGACCCAGAATACATAACAAACCTCCGCACACTGAACCAAGTGCGATCACGTCTAGAAGACGTTGTCCAGACCTTCGGCGACGCAATGAGCTGGCCACTACCCCCATCCGAGATCTCATTCTCATCATCCTTCATCTCAGTCTCAGGACCAGACCTCGGACCTGAAAGCCAAGACCGCGAAGAAAAAGGCCAAGAAATGATGAAGAAGCTACGCAGAGAAGTGACCGAGTTACTCGACAGTGAGGGCGGAGGATACGCCGGGCTAGACGCTGCCAACCGCCGCGTTGAAGCTCTTCGGACGCTGGCGACTGTGTGGAATACATCTGCTGAGGAAAAAGCCCGGAATCGGTTCGTGGATAGCCTGGCGAATGTCGTGGAGGATCGACGGCACACCTTGGACCAGGCGGATCAGAACCAGCGAGGACAGTCTAAGTCTAGATCTGGGGCTCGGCGGGATAGTGACAGTGGGGCACCGGCTGGTGGACTGTTCCGAAATTTGCAGCGTTTGAGGGAGGAAATCTACTTGGAGTGAGACGATGGGATGGACATAGTACATATTGGTTCTGGGATGTGTGTTGAGCTGGTTCTTTACATGGAGACCTGGACCTGGCTGTATATAATTTTGCATCTTTTACAACCTTGTATTTTCCGCAAACTAATAGAAACCTGACGGTATACTGCCTTTCCAAGTTTGACTTTGGCGTGCTTACGTAGTGATCTAAGAGACATTTAACTAGTTATGGACATCTAGATACATAATCAGATAATCTCATAGGCCGTAAATACTTATAGTTATTATCTAGATGTTGAATAAACTGCATTTGTAAAACACAGCTGAGACATACTCCATATATGAAGCATAGACGCTCAAGGGGCCCACGAGGTGACGAGGCGGGCGTGGCACCGGAAACGTTACGCCGATCGCAGCGTCTCTCTCTCTCTCCACCTCCAGGGTGATTGCGTATTTCCCGTTTCCCTTTTGGTTCCGTTTGGTTCCTAACATCTTACAATGTTCCATATTACTTTACCCAGTATCTGATTCGACTTTATTTTTGCATGATGGCGTCGGAGGACGCGCCACTACACTTTCAGGATGCCAAGTCGACTCCGGTGCTGTGGCACGCCTCTAACCGTCGGTCACGGACAAACCGGGTTAAGACAATTGGCTTGTCAGTGATTGCATTGTTCTTCTTCTTTCTTATGCTACAGTCTTCTTCAACGGTAATGATCGCTTCCTGCGCCACGGACATGCTGTGACTGTCAGGCCTAAGATAAAGAAGCTAATAACTTGCCTAGCGACTCGATCCGGACTTTTGGACCAAGTTTCCCTCTCGCCATCCTTTCCCTCAGCGCCCGGAAGATGCCCAAGTCCTCCTTCCTCCCCGTACTGATATCAATGTCAACGATACTCTCCCTCACAATCTGGACAAGCCCAACCCACGCCTGCATGTCCTAGTCCCAGCCTCGCAGGGCTCGCGCGGAGTCTGCCGAACGCTTACGTCGGCTATGATCCTCGGATACCCACCGCCGACATTAATCGGTTATGGGCATGACTCTCCCGGAGCGACCGAGGCCGAGCGCATGGTGGACCGGATCACGCGGGCGCGCAACTACCTCCGAGACAGTAAAATCGTGCATGATCGCGACTTCGTGCTGATGGTGGATGGCGCAGACAGCTTCTTCCAATTGCCACCGAAGGTGCTAGTGGAACGGTTCCAGGCTATCATAAGGGCAAACAACCGAAAGCTGCGGGACAAGTTTGGGTTCGCAGAGGTAGCGGGCGAAAAGGCCGGGGCTGCACCTGAGATGGTTCAGAAATACACCCAGCGCGTTCTTTTTGGCGCAAGCAAGATGTGCTTCCCCGGGTTGCTGGATGACCCCGGTTGTGTATCTGTCCCCGAATCAACTTTACCTCCGGATGTATATGGCTGGAAGACTGATGCCTACCCAGATGGATCTCTGAACCGACCCCGATGGTTGAACCCGGGAGCGGTCATTGGTCAGGCTGCGGATCTGCGTCTGATCTACGATGAGGTCCTGCGGCTAGTTGAGTTTCGCTCGAACAAGTCTGGAGATTACCAGGCCCTGACACAGATGTACGGACGGCAAGAGGTGATCAGAGAACTGGAGCGGCGGCGAACAGCCAACGACTTCAAAGAGTTGTTTTACCGGATGGTGGGTATCTCAGATGCAGCAAACATCACCGGAATCACCCTCCGGCTGGAGACAGGCCACCGTTACGAGTACGGTATTGGCGTGGACTTCGAGTCTCAACTCTTCTTCAACCAGATCATGTCCCGCAAGGATGTCGAGTGGATCAGATTCGGCAACATCACAAAGATGTCTGCATTGCAGATGCAACACGGCGTCCCTCGCGAACACCGTCTCCTCCTACCACCAGACATCGCAGCACTCCCCAACCCATTTATCCAGTCCCGCTTCGCAAAAGAATCAACCCAACGACCAGTATGGAATGCCACACTGGATAAACTGCCGAACCCGCGCGAGCGCACCTGGCACAACATTTCGCTCATGACGAATGCCCACTCCGCCTCGGTGCCAGTAGTTGCCCACCTCAACGGCGACCCCAAGCTCCGCAACGCCTGGTGGGAGAACATGTGGTTTTTCCCATGGGGGCGCGCCCTACTGCGGAAATATGTCCGCGACTCGCACGGGTTCGACGCGGCACAGTCGTCGCTGCTGGGCGGCCAGGACTGGCTGGAGGTGCGTGGAGGCCGAGGTGGGATTTGGACCGATGACCAGAACTGGATCACCTTTGCTGAGGTCTGCAATGGCCAAGAAAGAGATCTGTTTGACGATGACCTTGGACTTTGGGCTAAGGAAGTTGACGACCCAGATGATCCGGTTTATAACCAGTATGGAAGTCTCATTGCTGGGAAGGAAGAGAAATTGGAGAACTTCGAGAACTTCGACTAAAGCTGGACCTTGAGTTAATATTCTCCCCCTATTACTCACTATATCATTCTCGATGGATGGATCGCTGTCGGGTTGTTGAGACTCTGTCCAGCTCATCGTCCCATCAAACCACCTGCTCTGCGCTATATCCCCACGTCCAATTCCAAGCTTATCAAGTTATGGACCCTATGTGATGTTTCGAGCTTGGATGGTTTATTGTCTTTTTGCATGACCGGCCTGGCTGGATAAACCACTACTATGATGGCTTGGCCGGATTCACAAAAGATTTATTCTTATGTCGAAGCTGGGGATTCTTTCGACTGTTATCGGGAATAGCTGTACATTATGGGGACTGGCTTTGTATGATACCATCATAGATGGAACCTTGGAAGTAGTACTTCTTATTCTCTCTATCCGTTCCTCCCTTTATGAATGCACGCAGACTCTCTCTCTTTCTCTCTCTCGCAGATCATTCATTGTGTTGCACCACTCGTGTCTCATTTGAACCGACAGCTGGCCATAATATGGCGGTCTGGTGGTCGAAGCCTGCTCCCTTGGAGTTCGGATCGACCCAACAAGGAGGAACGATGCATAACCCAGACCTTATTGGAAATGGAGCCGATATTCCGTCTGTTCGTGGACAGGGTCCCCTTAGATCTACATTGCCATCGGGTATACTTGGGGCCCCGGGTTCCTGCAGGTGGCCCCGGGGGAAGAGTCCCGCTTAGTAATTATATGCCCGCGGCGCGGCCCGGGGGGACCACCTGGGCAACCCTAAGCAAGTAGAAAAATAGCTTCTTAGCTACTAATTTAGTACTATTTATACCCGACCGAGTAATCTTAAAGCTTAATATCCGGCTTCGAATACTTATACCCCCCTTTAGCCGGGGTACTAATTAGGACCTAAAAACTCCTTTAAACTACATTTAATTATAAAAGTAAGCTTCGTTAATTAAAGTATTACTTTATATACAATTAAGAAGCCCTCTAAGCTCTCTTAATTCCGCTATAAATTAGGTTTTAAAGGTATACTAGCTTACTATATAATCCGGTATATTTCTTAAGAAAGAAGTAAGCCATTTACGTACTGCTAACGAGAAGTAGAAGCAAAAGCGTACTAGATCTCGGAGGTATATACCCGCCGAAGAAGGCCTCTTAGTTTAAGAAGCTTCTTAATTGATTACCAAGGTAGTAGAAGCATTAGAAGTACCCCCGGGGGGTATGGAATATGTAGATTGCTAGGGTATAGAAGAGAAACATGTCTAGATAGACCAATTAGTTAGTTTAATTAATTTAATGGCGTTATGGTTGAGATAAAAGCATTTGAATTCAATGGGTTAGATGGGGTGCGCAGCTCACTTGTGAAATACGTTATACGAACAATATATAGTATAGATAACTAATATTAACAACTCTAACTAAAATGAAAAAACCCGCTATTTCGACAATCTACGCGGAAATTGATGACTCACTGTAATATGCACTTTTGTATAGTATACCTGGTACCCAATGTCATATGATGTTCCCGGTATAATACTTGATTTCTACCATATATTCGGACTTAGTATTCGACACATATAAATGACACGTTCTACCACGTGATAATATACTCGATCCCTTTGTATATTTGATTTGTTTGTAAGGGTTAGGAGTTCCCCTATTCAAATGCGGCGCTAAGGGAATCTTATCAATAACAGTAGGCGACCTAAGTCTAGCATTCTACTGGTTACGTTACGCGTGGGTGTAGTTACTACATCTAGTTGGTCTGCGGCACAATCCATGGCATAACCGAAATTTCAAAGTAGTAGGAGTGGGACCTACGTTCCCAGGAAGGGGGATAAAAACTAATTTTAAGTTTCCCTCTTAGGTCGGTTGGCCGTCTAGGTCAGTAATCCACGGAAACACATAATCACAGGAAATGAGGCGTAAGAGACTTGGCAGGTATCTTATAGTGTGACGAGCAGGATCTATAAGCATCAGGTTCGTTACAATACCGAAGAAATAACTAGTGGATACCGGTGAAGTGAGGATTACCTTAAAAATTTCAAAAAGTCTTATTCCTCTGAAGTCAACAACATGCTCATACATGAAGCAAGGAAATATGCAACTGACGAATGCCCATTATGAGTTGCACAATCAAGAGGGGTCCGATGATCTCGGCACTCAAAATCAGTGGCGTGAACGTCAGCACCAGCCTGAACGAGTCTCTGAACAATCTCGAGATGGCCATTCTCTGCAGCATAATGCAGAGGTGTTTCGCCATAGACGTCCTGAAGGGTAAAATCTACTCCTGCTGTGAGGAGTTCATCCACCAGATCAACAGCACCGGACTCGGCAGCCCAGTGTAGTTTAGTCTTCCCGTAAGCGACATCGGTTTTGTTGGGACCATATTCTATGCCCATACATGAAGCAAGGAAACGCGCAACTAAGGAGTACCCATTGTTGTTTGCGCAATCAAAAGGGGTCCGATAATTGCTGCGCTTAAAATCAGTGGCGTGAACGTCAGCACCAGCCTGAACAAGTCTCTGAACAATCTCGATATGGTCATTCTCTGCAGCATAATGCAGAGGTGTTTCGCCATAGACGTCCTGAAGGGTAAAGTCTACTCCTGCTGTGAGGAGTTCATCCACCAGATCAACAGCACCGGACTCGGCAGCCCAATGTAGTATAGTCTTCCCGTGAGCGATATCGGTTTTGTTGAGATCATACTTCATGTCCCAGTCATTATTCATCATGATACGGACAACCCAAACCAAAGAGTAGCGCTGAACAGCGTTAAACAGTGGGTTGTTGTATACATCAGTTCCATTCCAAAGGCTACCACCGCTCCTCAGGACCAGTTCCACGATATGTGCATTGCCTGTGTTAATCGCCAGACCTAGTGCAGTTCTTCCTTGGGAATCCTGGTAGTTGATGTCCGGGATATCCTTCAATAGCTTGGAGAAGAATTCTAGGGCTTCTTGATCCCCAGATGATATTCTCTCCAACAGAGCGCTGAGAATACCGTTCTGTTCTTCTCGCCTCTGGATGACTGGAGATTTGCGAAGGAGGTATGTCATGACATCACCACCAAAGTTTGAACAGGCTGAGTGAAGTGGGGAAAATCCGTCGTCATCAAGTGCCTGTATTTCGGCTCCATATCTGACTAGACGTTTCACGATAGACTTATAGTCCATCTGGGCAGCGTAGTGTAACGCTGTTCTGCCCTTGGGCTTACTCTTGATGTTGACATCCACTTTAGCTCTTAGCAGCTCCTTCACAACATTATCGTGACCAGTTTGGCATGCGATCATTAGAGGAGTGCACAGTTGTTCATCAATGAAGCGACCGCGACAAGGAACCAAATGATTTTTGTCAACATGCGGTTGAGCAAGAAGACTCTGAATACAACTAGTGACGTTGTAAAATGATGCTAGGGCTAGGATAATGGTGTGGAAAGGGATTGCTTCAAGTCTTCCCCCAGTGTAGCGCACTGGTTGCTGATTATTGAAGGATAGCAGCATTCTCAGGATGGATCCGTCCGAAAATCGGAGCAATTGGATCGCAAGACTACCCTGGCTTATCCCATTCTCATCGGCCATCCTAGCCTGTTCGAAAATGTAGCGAGCCGAGTACTGGAGCAGTAAATTTGGCTCCTCGAAAAGGTCATCGCTATCCATCGAGGACGCACTGAACTCATCACACGCCGAAGACTGTGTTATCGAAGTTGCCCTTCCAAGTAAAGCGGAGTCCTCTCGAAGTTCAATAGACTTGTGGATTGCCACGAGACTGAGATAATTGAGGCAACTTCGGAGTAGCTGTTCATGGCATTTTCCAATATAGGAGGGCGTCAGCATTGGCTCTAACGACCATTCCTCTAGGCTGTTTAGTCTAGCGCCATTCCCCTCTAAAAAAAAGGTCCGAACCGAATCGTGGATAACCTGGACTCTTCGTTTCCAAAATGATTGCACGGGAGCTGTCTGAATGTAGCTTATGGACTCTTCGCTGTCACTTTCGTCGTCGCTCTTGCTGTATTGATCCATAACTGCTGAGGAGTCGTTCAAATTTTGTGTGTCAACAATCTCCACTAGCCCCTTGGATATACTGCGTATATAATCCTCAAATCTCTGATTATCCACGACCTGTTGTTTCGCAGCTTCCCATGAACCTATTAACTTGCGTCGTGATCGATCGAACGGAGCGATATCTGATAATATCAAAGCCTCACGAATTTCGCCTGCATTTAGAGGCTTCTGTGAGAAGAGAATCCATTTGAAGAGGTTCGACGAAGCCTTTCGTTCACTGGGCTCATTGATGTTTGAAATAAGCTGTTCGAATAAAAGGTGGAGCTTGTTAGGCACATTGTCAAGTGATCTCATTAAACTTCGGAAAGATTGTCCTTGCTGAAGTATCTTTGGGCGAAGGTCACAGATCACTAGGTCTACCCACAAGAAGACCCCAGACGCTTTCTCAATAATTGATCGTTTCAGAGATTCTCTCTCTGAGGCACCGCCATGGGTTGTTTCTAGCAGAGGTAATGTTTGATGGATATAAGCCTCAATATTTCTCATATTGCTCTTCTCCGTGACGACCGTGTAACATTTCTCAAAGCGGATTCCAGGGAAATGCCGACACGAGATGCATAAGTTCACCTTCCATTTGTTGTTCATGGCTTGACTGATAAAACTTTGGAAGGAATGAAACACACTATCAATTTGCTCAGATTGTGATCTTTCCTCTGACTCGTCTCCACATTCATCGAGAGCATCGATAAGGATTGTGACTGGTTTCAACCCTGGGCGCTTCAAAGCATTGAAGAAGGCTTGCTCGACTTCTGCACGTGACCAATGCACACTATCATTTTTCGAATGCTCCTTCTTGCTTTTATACAGAACGTACAGCGTTGATGGAAGAGGTAGAGTCTGTAAAAGGAGCTGGTGGAGCAATGATCTGAAAAGACCTGTAGCTGATTTGGCCAGATCGTCACTACTTCGAGCGTTGAAGTAGAACTGAATAATTACATCGTCCCCTGGATTAGAGTTCGTAAGATAATTACCGAGCTGCTTCATCACAGTAGATTTTCCTGATCCGGGGTGACCTTCTATCCAGAGAACCCCATGATGATCGTTAAGATTATCTCGTTTCTTCCATGATTGGAAGGAGATATTGTCAAGAAGCCAAATGCGACCTTTTTCTTCGTTCTCATTCAATTCCGTGATCCGGCTCTGTCGTTCTTTGTAATCGAAATATAGCGTGTCTAGACATTCTGTTGCTCGTTTAGTAATTTACTTGTTCAGGGATCGTGATCAGTGTATATAAATAAACTCGGCGCGAAATACCTTTCTCGATGGTAGACAATACTACGCCAGCTATTGTAATATTGGGTTAGTAGATATCCCAACTTGTCGCAGATATGATTAGGATAGAGTGTAGAGGAAGTTGAATGAATCGCAATAATAAGAATTTGATGGACGAATAATTACAAACCTCTTGTTTTAAGTAGCTCCCCACAAATTCTTAGATTGCTCTGTACTATCTGCGTCGCGAGATAGGACCGAGTTGCTGCGGCAATGACATTTTTCTTTGAAGATTCCTGCAACCCAACCTCTTCCAAACCCCTGTCGACGTTAAATCGAAAATATCTTCTCTGATCATCAAGTGATGCATGTTCTTCGTGGAATGCGTCGGCAATTCTCTGGGTGTCGGTCGCCATTCTAATCAAAGCGTTCACAATTTGGTGCGGGTAGTCGCCAAACGCCTTCGGTTTAGGTACACCGGTACCGACCGACACAAGACATCGTAGTTGTGATTCCAGGTCAGCCTCAGACCAGACATCACTGGCTTCCTTCCATAGTTCGCTGACTGGGTTATTTGCTCCAGTACCACCATCCAAGAATTTCTCCCCGTATGGTCCAATCGCGACGGGTTCGAAAAACGAACTAGCAGCAGAAGTTGCCCTAGCAGCCTCCCAGATTTTGGTGTATGAGGTCAAATCTCCTGTGCCTCGGGAAGGGTAGGTCGCGAGCCGCCTGAGGAGAGAAGTCTCTTTTGTTGTCGAGCAGACAAATCTATTGAAGGACGTTACGAACATGCGGACAGATTTTGAATATTTGTACACGAACTTACACTTTGCATTTTGCATCTGGGTTCACCAGAAGAGCGTCTTCTTTTAATCCGCGATCGACGAGTAACTGTTTAACCGCTTTCTCTAGAATTTCATGATCAAATCGTTCTTGCATCTGCCAGGTCCGAAAACTGATTCGACTGTGCTTCTTGACAAATATCTTGTCCATCATAGCCAAGTAAACTTCAATGCACTCGTCTACTGTCATCCCAAGACGGCCAAGCATTATTGCAACGAGACTGTTTATATCAGCAGAAACTCACAGAGCTTATCATAAAGCTACTTACCCTCCTGTACTAGTACCTCCGATCATATCGAAGTATTCACAAGGCTTCAGTTGGCCGGGAGAATCATGATTGACAGCAAGCATTATCTCTCGCAAGATGAAAAGCATAGACAGGCCACGAACACCACCACCGTCCAAGGAGAGAAGGCATAATTGTTTTCCATCCATGTTGTCGGTAGATGTAGTAGACAAAAACAATCTCAACACCAATGGTGAAGATAACGGAACTAATTTCGGTCAGGTGGGCGCGAGTCTTTTAACGAATTTGTGTCCTGCGGGGTTGTGCAAGTCAGCTCAGCTCCAGCCTCAGCCTAGTCTTAGTATGGAAATGTCAGACGATAAAGTGTTCAAGCAACCTTGTAGCCGCCGACTAGTTGTAGGGCCCGCAACTTACTTATGGGCCACCGAGGGCCAACCAAGTTCAGTTCCCAGGAGTAAGGGGCCATGGGGCCAAAACTAGTAATTACTAGTAGGTTACTGGTAAGATCCGGAAGCTTGAAGGAGGTTTTTTATTATATTTGTGCATACGGGCAATAATATAGGGTTACTATAGGGGCGGCATATCACATAACATACTGTACCCCTTACAATCTTATCTTCAAAACACATACAAAAGTATAAGATTATATATAAAAGAGAACTATAGATAGTAGAGATATCGAAAAGATTATATACTCACACTAGCCTGCCTGCACCTACGGCCTTAGTCATGCGCTGCCTTACAATGGCCTTCTTATGCCACCGCCGCTATCATTCCAAAATACTTAGGTATACTGTATACTGTATATAGTTAAAAGTATGTTGAAAAGTACATGTTTAAATTAGGTAATTATAACTAGTACTAACTAGCCTCTATATTCCGAATCGTCTAGACAGATCATAGCGCCTGCATAGGTGGTGGTTTCCAGAGAGATAACATGCCGGTCGGTGTTTCAGCTGGCAGTTCGAGCTCCCTTGCGACCACGATGGCGAGTCCTGTGTCGTGATCTGACGAATCAGACGCGTATTCTGTAAGCCCTAGCAGCATATTAGCCATTTACTGAGGTTGTAAATAAGTGGGGGGCGGTTACATGGGTATTGGTGTGGTGGCAGTGTTGGTAGTGTAAAGATAGGATGATAGTACATACATAGCGGCATACGGCCATAGCACGGGTGCGAGAGGCAGCGATGACTAAGAGGTGCGGGCAGGCTATTCCCAAAGTGGAAGGCTAGTGCGAAAATCCTAGCCGGAGCGGGAATGACTAATCAGGGGTATGAGTAGCGAAGGGGGGTCAACCAAAGAAAAAGTGGGGGGGGGGGTGGTGATAAGAGATCTACTAGTCTGGAAGATCTGGAAGAGAGTGACGGAGAAGATGATGTGATATTGATAAGGGTCTGCCCAACAATTAAGCTGTTGGGAATCACATGTACTTATTGGGGAAACCAGACGTGCTAACCGAGGGGTGACGTGTGACAGGGGGTGGAGGATTCAATGTAATTTTAATATAATATAAGAAGAATATATAACAGTATTAGGTACTGGTGTATGGGGCGCTGTATCATCTTGATATGCACTAATTATGCAATACGGTTATACATGCTTCTACTGGTATAATACTACTAGGTGATGATCTACGGAGTACTCCGTACACACATCACACCGAGATAAATCACCTATCACACATATCCTATAGGACCCATTCCCTGAACAGCGCATACAAGGCGCACTCGTAGTTCTAGGGTAGGCATGCCAATATGTACTGTTTTTATGACTCGTTCCTCAGCCAAGGCATGAAACACCATCAGTCCCCTGCTTCACTTGACTTTTTGTCGTGTCCCCTGGTGGCATCATAATGGTAGCTCGTTGCCTATGCTATAGCACTCTGAATGCGCCTACTGCTCGCTACATTGCATTTCAAAAATCAGAGCAGCAGGACTCTTGTCTGTTAAAAGTAGGTTCATAAGATTCCAATAAGATTTCGCGTTGGGTGGGGAACTCCAGGCCATGGCACCAAAGCTGGCCGCTAAGTGCTTACGCTGTGGCATTAACTGACGCACGGGTAAGTGGGCCACACGGGCAAGGCTAAGGCTACGGACAAGGCACCGGCCCACTTACCCGTGCGTCAGTTAATACCACAGCATGGCTTGGAGTTCCCTCCCCACACAACGCGAGTGTTAATTTGTTTCAAGGTAATTATAGGTAAATTTGATCAGGAATGCATGATTTTTCAGGAATGATTATTTCCGTATGGACTGGTACTTTGTGGTCTCATTGGACTGTACAGACTGTGAAACCGGATGATTGATTGAACTGAGTATGGAAATCAGTTGAAAGTGTCTTCAAGGTTACAGTATATAGCTGTATTTTACACATGATTCTTCTGGGCTGATCCAAAATCATAACAAAAGCATAGGGTGGATTTCAAGGGCTAGCCCTATATAGGGGTGGTGATAATATAGCCACTCCCATTCTTGACATGATTAGCTCTGGGCTGTTCTCCGCTTTTGCCGTACCGCCCAGCCCCTCACACAGCCTCCCCACCCCCTTTATTATTTGACCAGCGCGCCGTCAATCACTATTCGTTGTCAACTTCATCTTTTGGCACAATCATGCCTTCAAAGAACCCCAAGCAAACAAGACCCTCGCCGAATTCTGCGTCGAAGACTTTCAAGGGGCGGCTGCATGGCTGGCTTGGCCGCAACTGGAGTCTCAAGTCGGTGTTTACTGGCGTATTGGTACTCTCCACGGGCCTTTATGTGGCTAACCCCAGTATTGAGGCCATACTGGATAATTTTCGACCCATTGGCCAGGATAGCTATTGGAAGAATCATCGAGAGGAAGTCAAGGACGTGTTTGTCACAAGCTGGGATGCATACTCTCGACATGCCTGGGGTATGTCGAGACCCTTTGTCACGTCAAATCCACCACGAGTAAAAGTTGACATTTAAACTTAGGAAAGGATGTCTATCATCCCATTGCCAAAACTGGAGACCAAATGAGTCCTAAGGGGCTCGGATGGATCATCGTCGACAGTCTTGACTCATTAATGATCATGAATCTAACCTCTCAGCTCTCTGATGCTCGAGACTGGGTCAATTGGGAATTGACCTACGACCAAGATCAAGATGTCAACACTTTTGAGACTACCATTCGCATGCTAGGCGGGCTTCTGTCGGCGCACTATCTGTCCAGTCAACTTCCTGATGTTGCATCTCGCCAGGACTCCGTTTACCTCCGAAAAGCGGTTGACCTGGCAGACCGACTTCTCAGCGCTTATGAGTCTCCTTCCGGAATCCCATATGCTAGTGTGAAACTAGCTACCCGAGAAGGTATTCCATCTCATGCAGATGGAGGTGCCTCGTCGACTGCCGAAGCTACGACCCTCCAACTGGAAATGAAGTACCTTGCTCATATCACAGGCAACGAAGTCTACTGGCGCAAGGCCGAACATGTTATGAAGGTGATCGACGACCACTGCATGCCAGATGGTTTGTTACCTATTTTTGTGCATCCTGATACAGGAAATTTCCGCTACCAGGAGATCCGTCTTGGGAGCCGCGGGGACTCTTACTACGGTATTGTCCTTCATTTCCGCTATGCGATTGAACTGAAAACCTAATAATAATCACAGAGTACTTGGTCAAGCAATATCTGCAGACCTCCGGAGATGAGCAAATCTATAGCGAGATGTGGGAAGAGGCTCTGGCAGGCATCCAAAAGCATCTTGTCACTACCACCAAGTACTCTAATCTCCAATTTATTGCGGAGCTTCCAAATGGCATCGGTGGGAATCTGTCTCCAAAAATGGACCACCTCGTCTGTTTCTTACCAGGCTCAATTGCAATTGCCGCTACAGAAGGACGAACTGAGGCCGAAGCGCGCAAGCTGCCAACCTGGAGTGCTAAAAAAGAGGAGCAGATGAAGCTAGCAAGAGAGCTCATGAAAACCTGTTGGGCGATGTATGCAGTGACAGACACCGGGTTGTCGCCCGAAATTACCTGGCTTGAGACTGACGACGCCGATCTCCGACCCAAGCCAGGGTCAAGACCTCAAAAGAAAAGCAAGGATGACATAGACTCGTGGAAGAAAGATCTTATTATCAAGCCTCTCGATGCTCACAATCTGCAACGCCCGGAAACTGTTGAGAGTCTCTTTTTGATGTTCCGAGTCACAGAAGATCCCATTTACCGGAAATGGGGATGGAAGATTTTTGAATCTTTCAAGCAACACATGCTTATACCCGATGGCGAAGCGTATACCTCCTTGAATGATGTTACCAAGGTTCCTGCGCCCTATCGTGATAATATGGAAAGCTTTTGGCTGGTAAGATATTTAATCGTGTCTTCTGCTTCCACCACGACTGCTAAACCTCAAATATAGGCTGAAACTCTGAAGTATCTATACCTTCTCTTCTCACCGAGAGAGTATCTCCCACTCACTGATGTTGTCTTCAATACGGAAGCCCATGTTCTGCCTCGATTCAAGCAGTCCAAGTTTCAAACCGGCTGGGAGCGAAAGAGATGTTGAAAAGGAAGCTCACAAGACCGCGCGGTTGCTCCGGCATACATATATTGCCATGTTTTTGTTGAGGGAGAGGAGGTTTAGATTCAAGTTCCGAGTCAGAGGTAGTAGTACGCATAACAAGGTATGCAGACAGCCTGAATGGGATGAATGGAGATTAGAAATTAGAATTCCCTTGGGAGGCATACTTTACGTCCTCTACTGGGACCAATGTATATCGCGTAATACCTAGGCAGTGACAAATTGCCCATCTGTGTGATGTCCTTTATGTATCCTGTCAAAGTGCTTTACAGCACGTCTCGCCAGCCAAATCTGTCGAGTGGTTCCTCAAGAGAGTGCCGAACATTTTTTACAAGGCAGAGAAGGCGTGAAATATGACAAAACACGCTCAGCGGGTGGAAGGATACGGTCCAGGGAGCACAGTGGTTTAATAGTCAAATATCCGAGATGTATGACAACTCTCATTCAACGTGGCTATCCCACGATTATAAAGTAGCTATTTTCTTTCGTTATTTGACCGCCCTCTCCCGCCCTCTCTCGCCGTCCTTAGTAGTAGTAGAAATCAATTGACCCGATCCGGCTATCTCTAAGTTATGAGTGACATGTGCGTGCTGCAATCCTCCTGGGATGCGAAAATGACGGCCTGCGCCCGGGAAAAGTACCTTCCGATGCCCCAGCGGGGCTTCGGGGAGGTACCTCACCACTGTGAGAAGGTAGTAGAGTACAAAAATCAGGTAACAAAAGGAAACAGGGGGTAAAGGTTCCTCCCACGAGGAAGACAAAAGAAATCGAAAAGGGGGGGGGGGGGAGGATAGTACGCCTTGCTATCGGTCGTACACCGCTAAGAAATGAGAGCCTCCGCCCCCTCAGCCACGCCATTATCATCACCACCAACATCAACACCAGCATCTGGCACTCTCGCAGTGGGCCACCAGGAGGATATGGACCCTCTATTGCTGCGTCAAACAGGTGAATTGGGACAATGGGAAATTACCCAAAAATAATTAAAAGCAGAATTAGTACTTGCTGATAATGAATTCTCAGCAAAAAAATATCATTCCCAAGACACAAAATCTCTCAAGCCTAATTTCTCGACGAGAGCTCTGCCGGTTGAACAGGAAGTAGCTTAGGCGCATCCAACTCTGCGGGGTATTGTGGCTGGTACCGTGCCTGGTGTACGGACATAGCCGGAGGTTGGGAGTAGTAATGAGACAGACTTTGATCAGGCTCAGCTGCTGTTCGCTGCTTCCGCCGACGGAAGAGGTACAAGGCAGTCAGCAATGCGATCACACCTATCGCACCCACGCCGATTCCGACGCCGATTCCGATTTTTGCTCCTGTATCTAGGCTACTGGGAGAGCTTGAGTTGGAATTTTGAGAAGTAACCGATGTTGAAGGGGTTGTGGTTGTTGCCGAGGTCGTAGAAGTAGCGGTAGCAGTTGAAGGGTATTTGATGTTCCAACCCACAATGCCAATTGCACCGACTGTCGAGCTGGAGGTCATGGTTGTTGTAGCCATGGACCACGAGCTCGAGTCATCATTTGCAGTGGATCCGTAAGTAAGAGTCATGCCCGAGGAAACTTTCGACAGGCAGTTCCCAGCAACAGAACCAGGAACAGCATCTCCAAGATAGAAACCTCTGTTGTTGACTTCAGTGAGCTATTCCGCCATAGATCGATGGGGTAAGAGCAAAAGCAATTTGGACTTACGATGGACAGCACATCTCCAAAACACTGGACGAATCTTTCGTGGAAGAGGCAAGTGTGGACCAATTGTCGGGACATGACATTGGTCCGATGCTAATTCGTGTCGCGTACGAGCCATGGTCACCTAGAAGCCCTTGCTCCCACCATGTTGTCATGGCTGGGGGTCCACAAAGTACACCAGTTTCAACATCGAGCCCGTATGCGGGGTCGAACGCCATCAAGCTCGGGCCATCGAGACGATATTTGGTGAAACATTCCGGGGACGGTGTCCATGTCGTTGTTAGCGGGACATAAGATGTGACAGTGCCACTATTCGTCTCCGCTGGGTAGAGGACTGCCGAGTCTGACATAGAAAGCGACACTGGAATGTGAAGGCTTGTTAAAGCCCGCCGTTAATGCGAAGATACAGTCAGAGTTATCTCCGTAAGTGAGCTATGCAGAACTTCACGAGATCGAATTCTTGGGGTGAATTCTGGGCAGGATATGCAATAATTGATCAAGAGTCAAGAATCAGAGGGAAGGTAAGCTAATACTTAAGTGACCTCAGGTATTAAGTCGGGCCGGTCGGCCCAGCCCCTAACGCTCCACGCCAATTGAGGTCTGTTCACAACCAAAATTGAGCTAATGCACATCGCACACCACAGCGGCATGATTGACGAGTCAACGAAGACGTTCCAGGAATCAGAGCGGCCCCACCTGGCCCTGATAGGCGGATTCGTAGACGGGCGCTAGTTGCTTTCTATGTATAGGCCCAAATCAAACCCCGTAGATGCAGTGGCTGTGACAATACGATACGGAGGTGCATATGGGGGGGGGGGGAAGGGGGCGGCGCCAAAAAAACTCGTCTGACCCACTTGCTTACAATCATTCTGCCGCCTTTTCTGCCGGTTTAAAACCTCGCAAATATACTCCGTAATGAAATCTGTAAGAGTTGCAAGGGTGGCTAGGAAAGAAGGGTCAATGGCACGAAGGAGGCTTGATTTTGATTTGGCTACGAACAGTATCAAGACTGATTATTTGTCAGCATGTATCCATAGCTTCCATCTCTCACCTCATAGCACCTCTTACATAGCACACATATCACATACGTTCACATGCTTCATATTTGCACTCCGTACAGGTTATAAGCCCTCCTCTTTAAGATCCTAAGCCTCGCTATCGCCATGTTTCCTCCTTAGGGGAGTGGGTGTTACAACCTGCCCCTGGACTGGCGAGTTACAAACTAGGCCAAAAAGATCACTATATCTAAGCGTTACGCTCAGATAGACCAGGCTCCGATATATATAGTGCGTGACATGACAGTGGGATATTGAGAGCCCCGCTGACCACTACTCCAAGCGTTTACTCATTAAGCCAAAAAGGCATAGCCAAACTGAGTTTAACTGTAGTGGTATATATATAGGTGTCACACATGTTGTGGGATCACAACATGACAGGAGGCTTCTTAAACTAAAAAGCCTTCTTCGGCCGGTATATACTTCCGGGATCTAGTACGCTTTTACTTCTACTTCTCGTTAGCGGTACGTAAATGGCTTACTTCTTTCTTAAGAAATATACCGGATTATATAGTAAGCTAGTATACCTTTAAAACCTAGTTTATAGCGGAATTAAGAGGACTTAGAGGGCTTCTTAATTATATATAAAGTAATGTGATTCGGAAAGGATCGCATGTTTTCTATTAGTTGGGTTTGCTAAGTACTAAATACTACTATCTACGGGGAGCTACGGTACCTATAGATATAGAAACGGTCCGGTACGGGCCTGTAGAGAAAGACTGTATGCTATACTTTCACCATAGTACTTGTAAAGTGAGAGTGTCTCTAAATTACTGGCAATCTTACTATGTATGTAACCAATGAGAGAGAGTTATGGTCGGTCTATTTAGTTGCTCGTACCCAATGTCCTCGACGTCTCGCCCGACGAACCCTCGCGGATAGTATCTTTCATTGATTTACAAGGAGGGCTAGTCTTACCGACCTTTCTCCAAGCTCGGTGGCCAATATTCTTGAAACCTTGGCAGGAGAGTGAATACGCGAGAGGCCCTGTATAAGTGAAGCTGCCAGACAACCTCGATCAATTAGACGAGGAAGAAGAAAAAAAAGAAAAAAGAAGGCTGCATTGAACGAGTGGGAGCAAGACATGCTAGCCAAGTCTTACGAGATCGTCACGTACCTAGAGAACAGACCGGCGTAGTATACCGCCATCAATGTGCCGCGAGTTTTTCGAGAGCTGTTCGTCCATTGTGGTGAGGTTTTGGAGATGGATATTATCCCACTTCGTGAATGCCTCAGAGATATCTCAGAGCTGGTCGAACTTGGGATTCTCTGGATAATGTCCATTCTCCTTCACAGAAGAAGAAATAGAGATTCATGGGCGCTAATTCGCTGGTTATGAAGATTGGTACCAAGTCCAGGTCCTTGCCCGGGAATGTCTGGATACACATGCAGAAGGCTGGATATCACCACAGTTGGATTTCAAGAACAAGCGAAACTTAAACAAGAAATTGCAGGACATGTACATTCAGCAAATGGCCGGCGAGAAACCCTCGAGGAAGTGAAAGCAATTTTGCCTTTCCCATTATGAATCCGCCGTGGAGGTTTGAAGAAGTAGACTGGTTTCTTTCTTGATTCTTTGATATCAAACATCTATGATAAAACAATTTCCAGCTTCTCATCCTTTGACGTTCTCATAATCCGCCGTAAGAGTCTCCTTAATTATAGCCAAAATAGCCTTGACATCTTCATCAGAGAGTCTGAGCTCCCGCTCTTCAATAACACCGTCCATCAACACCACCGCAGTGTAATCTTCCTCCTCGCCCTCTTCACCTTCCGCTTCCCCATCCACTTCCATCGCATCCTCCCCATTAGCACCTTCCTCTGCAGCTTCTTCAGTCGCAGGATTACCGCTCAGTCCCACCCCGAGATTCAAGATCATAACGACCTCGGCTTTGGTCAGTCCGTACGGCTGTAGACGGACCACCAAGTCCCGGAGGGCAGTGTCCATAGGTGTTATTTCTGAGGAGGTGATCGGTGGCGGCAGGGAATTAGCATCTGGCTCTGTACTTGCTGAATTTGAGGTTCGCAGTGTGCCGGTCATTGCGGCTTGCGATTGTGATTTCGACTGGGAGGAGGAAGGGCGGGCTGTGTAGCGGGGGTATCGTAGGAGGTGGGGGGAGAGACGGCTTGCATAGTTGTGAATCTGGGAGAGTTAGTCGGTTTTTTTTTTCCTTCTATCGTTCGTGTCTCTTGGTGTCTGGTTCGGGAGCTTGGGTTCTGGTCGACTCCGCTTCACGATGGGGTCTGTGGTGTAGTTTCACTAGGCCACAACACCCCGTGGATAGATGAAAAGGACCGCATAGGGGTTCTCACCTCTTTGACTACTGTATTATGGTCTCTGAGATCTGGGCTTGGTGCCCAGTTCCCCGAACTTGGCGGTGGTCGGCGGGGTGGATTGGAGGTCAGATGGGCCAGGACCTCGACATTGGTCAGGACGGCGGCTTGAGGGTCAATGATCTAAATTATTTCGTTAGCGGCAATACTGAGCTTCCACTAAAATATATCTTACCCTCATTTTATGTGTTGAAGGTGGCAAGATAGACTGGAGCAAATGAGTGACTGGAGTGAAGGAAGGAAAATTGTTTGAACTGCCGGCAGAAACTGGGCGGTGTCATTATCTACCCGCATATCTTGGCTAAATCGAGTATAGAGACGAAACAACAAGAGATGAGACTGGAACAGAGTTGGTTGGGACTATAATTTGTGATGAATGTGCCTACAGCTTTACAATCAAGTACTGAAGTATGAACAGATTATTCCAGCTAAAACTGTACTGCCTTGTTCCTAACGAGCACCCTCTGCGCCAGTGAAAGACCGGTAGATCAACCTCAAAATGCCCCAAAACATGCGAGCAACAGGAAGATTGTAACAAAAAAAAAGAACAGAAATAAAAAAGTGTGATATCATACAGATCCCAGGAAAGCCATCCGGTCACATTGCACAAACTTTTGAAAACATACGCTTACTCTCCCTTGGACTTCTTCTTCTTCTTCTTCTCATCGTCGTCTTCGGAACGCTTGCGCTTCTTGCCATCGTCCTTGTCGGCCTTCTTGGCATCCTTCTTGGACTTCTTCAAGTCCTTCTTGCTGATTGAAGTGGGGTTGCCTTCTTTATCGAAGGTGATCTCACCACGCTCAAGCTTCCGCTCGTATCGCTTAACGCTGAGACCAGCCTTGGCAGCCAATTCCTCAATGTCGCTCTTCTTGGACTTCTTCTTGGGGGCCTCAGCCTCGGACTCATCAGAATCCTCAGCCTCATCAGAGTCGGCATCAGCCATCTCCTCATCCTCAACCTCCTCGACGAGCTTCTTCTTCTCCTTCTTAGACTTCTGGACGGTGGCAGGCTCCTCGGAGGCCAGAGCATCGGCATCGGGGTTGTACTTGCGGGCTTCCTTCAGGTCGAACTTCTCGGCCTGAACACCGTTGGGGGCAATGGCCACACCACGGGGCTTAATGGGCTTGCCCTCCATACCGGCAAGCTTGCGCTCGAGGTTGAAGCGGGCCTCGGTACCGAGAGCAGCCTTGTCCTCCTCGGTGGCATCGTCATCCCACTCAGCGAGGGAGTCGACACGGATACCCAGAGAGGCCTTGGCGGCGAGGATACGGGCCATCTTACCCTTGTTGCGGCCGGTGGCCTGGCCGATCAAAGAAGCGTGGTAGATCAGACCGTACTTGGGAGTATCGTGCTTAGTCTTGAGGGCACGGAAAAGGGCCTTCTCGGCACCCAGAATCTGGATGGTACTGGCGGGGCTCTTGGACAAGCTGGTGAGGGAGCCAGCGTGGGCAATCAGACGGGCACCAACGAGGTCACCGACAAGGGCAGTCAGGTTGGGTGCGATGGCGTTCATGCGGGAAGTGAGGTAGCTGGCAAGCTGAGAGCGGTAGTCGTAGAAGCCAACGACCTGCTCAGCGAGAGCCTGGATGTTCTCCAGATCCTCGGGGCTGATCTCGGTACCCATGGAGCGATCGGCAGCAGCCTTGACGGCACCCTCGATCTCCTCGGGGAGGATCTCAGCAAGATCAGCGGACTCCCAGTTGGAGCGCATACCCATCTTCAGAACGAGCTTGGCGTAGGCAATGTTGTCGTTGAGGATCTTAGCCAGCTCGGGGAAGTGCCATCCGTACCATTCCTTGACACGCATAGCGTAGGTGTTCAACTCCTTGTCAAGATCATCGAGGAGACCAATGGCCTGGACGATCATAGTGTCGATCTTGTCGGGGGAGAACTTGAGCTTGTGACGGGCGAGAGAGTGGGACAGACCAAGGGACATAGTGGACATATCACTGGGGGCAAGG